GGGCGCGCGTTCAATTAGCGCGCGCGCGCCTCGTTAACCCGCACAGTGACCCCATCGCACCTCGTTAATCCGCCCCTCGCCTCGTTAGCCCGCCGTTTGGCAGCGCGGCTGTGGAGTTCGAGCCGCTTGGCCGGAGCCCGCGCGGATTTCCACGCAGAGCTCCTGGAGGTCGCTCGCCGCCGCTGCTGCTGATGATGATGATGACGATGATGATGACGATGATGACGATGATGATGACGATGATGATGCTGCTGATGATGATGACGATGAGACTCTCACTCCCTGGAGCCCTCTCGTCGTGGCCAGCAGACCTCGACATTGCTGCTGCTGCTACTACTGCTGCTGCTCTACTACTGCTGCTACTGCTGCTGCTACTACTGCTGATGCTGCTGTTGCTGCTTCTGCTGCTGCTACTACTGCTGCTGTTGATGTTGCTGCTACTGCTGCTGTAGCTGCTGCTCTACTGCTGTTGCTACTGCTGCTGCTGCTCGCGAAGCTGTGGGGCAGCAGCCGCAGAGTCGCCCCATGCAGCCGCTTGGCGAGCCGCGATCGGGACAGATCCACAGCCACTGGCGGCGCCTGTGGTCACTCGGATGTGCGTCGTTTCACCCCCCACCAACCAACACCCCAACTACCACCCCCACCACCCCAACCACTACCACCAACACCCCCACCAACACCCCAACCACCACCACCCCAACCACCACCACCCTAACCACTACCACCAACACCCCCACCACCACCCCAACCACCACCACCCCAACCACCACCACAATCACCACCACCCCAACCACCACCACCCTAACCACTACCACCAACACCCCCACCACCACCCCAACCACCACCACCCCAACCACTACCACTAACACCCCCGCCACCACCCCCACCAACACCCCAACCACCACCCCCGCCACCACCCACCCACTCCAGCTACGTTGTTGATTTTAGAGTTCTCTTTTTACAACTAATCCTGCACCGGGCAAACAAAAACCTCGCTCCGGCGGGGCTTTGTGGAGCCGCGTTCTGCAACGTAAACTCTCTCCCTCTCTCTCTCTCCCTTCGGCATTGTTCTCCGATTGTACGAGAGTGAAACGGGCTGCGCGAATTCGCCCGGTAATGACCTCCCCCCATCCCTCCCGCAGCCTTTGTCTAAAGCAGAGGAACGCGCGCGGTGCGCGCTGCTGCTTTGCTTGGCACCAGGTCAAGAGACGCCACGGTCACGCACATAGCGTGACACACACACTCCCCGACACACACACATACCCCGACACACACACACCGACACACACACCCTGACACACACACGCCCCGACACACACACCCCGACACACACACACCCCGACACAAACACCCCGAAAATCACACACGCCCCGACACACACACACACCCCGACACACACACAAACACACGCAGCCTAACACGTACAGACACCGCGCGCGCCTCTCGTGCCAGGCTCGGAATTACGAGCCACGGGGCCACACAATGTGTGCCCCCCCCCCCCCCGGGCCGGGTAGTCGGGGCGAGCCATCCGTGTCCAAATGCCACCGCTGCATCAAATTAAAGCGGCGGCATCAGCGGCAGAGGCGGCGAGTTCGCAAAACAAAAGAGAAAGAGAGCCGAGCAGACACGCGCGAATGATTACGCCTTTATTGATGTATGTTTAAACTCTAAACCACATGTATGTACAAGATACAAGGGCATCCTGTGTGTGTGTGTCCCGCGCGGTTGCGCAAACAAGAAACGCGAGCTGCCTCGGAGCGGACAGCCCCGCCACGGCCGCAGCGCGCGCCGGGGCCGAGGGGTTCCACTCGGGATGGAGAGTGACCCCGCCACGAGCAGGGCCCCGGGTGGAGAAGGTCGCCCGCGTTTTCACCAAAACTCGCGCGCGAGGCCCCGGGGAGGAATTCTCGCCATCACCGCCCGCGCGGGGGGCCGCCCTCACGCGCAATGGGCGGCGCTCATCCCCCCCCCCCCTCCGTCTCGAGGGGGCCCAGAGCCCAGTGGTGGAAATTCCACATTTTCCACATTCAAAATTCCACATTTCCACCACTGGGGCCGGTATGCCCTCAGAATTACCACCAATTTAGGCGAGGCTTTACATCACTCCGAATGTTCTTTATTCTCACAGAAAAGCCTCGCTGAGTAAAAAAGAAATATCCCGTATGCAGTACATTGAATTGAGATCTTTGGCCAATACCATGCAACGCGTTTTCAGCCCCGATATGAATCCAGCGCCGCCGTCAATTTGTCTGGCGTGCCGCGAACAACGCGGCCGCAACCCGCAGTAATATCCCAGACCCGGTAACATCCCTTACGCCGGAGTCGCCGTTGCGTGCAGGAACACGCGGAGGGCTCTCTAGGGAAACCGCAGCGACACAGCTGGAAGGCTTCCCTCACTGCGATATGAAAACAGCAACAACCCAGGGGCTGGGTCGAGGGTAGCCCATGGTCATGAGTTCACAGTGAGGTCCAGAGAGAGAGAGAGATGGGCACCCATATATGGACAACCGATGAGTCCTAATGTGACTGAAGCCAGCCTACAATTGTCTCTGTTTCACCGCTGCCCGTTTCGGATGATGCTTACGTCGGCCTAAGCAACAATAACACTGCTGCCCTCTCAGCTCTGCCGAGCTACTAGTGGTTTGGGCAAGGCTGAGAGCGTTGTAAATAGGTGCAGTGTGGTGGTCACGTGGCATGCACGCCGGGCGTGTGTGGATGTGAACCGTGGCCGCTCGCTGCTTTGCGAGACGACAACAACAACAACACGAAATCAAAGGCGAGGGAGAGGCGCCTCGAGGGGACCACGTGGGCCCGATGAGAGTCGGCAACTCCGGCCCTCGATATTTCGCCGCGCTCATTATCTTGCGTTTCCCTTCATCAATCTACCTTGAGTCACACAAGCGTATACACTTTTTAAAGGTACTGGAGGCCTATTTTAAGAATAACAGTTGCTGCCAATACATTCGATTAATATATAATTACTTTTAAAATATATTTATATTTATAAAACTCTTTCAGTTAAGGCAGTAGTCGTAAGGCACTGAACAGTAGCGGCGAGGTGGCGGCGGTGTTGGGGGGGCTCTGTCTGAGCTGCCAGGCCTCGCGCGTCACCTCCCGTCCAGCGGCACACCAGATGTGAGACTCCCCCCGCCCCGCCCCGCACTTTTGCGTTATTCGATCTCGTGGAACCGAACCGACAATGGGGGTCGATGAATCGATTCGTCCATGAGGCATCCCTCCTGGCTCCTGGCTCGGCGCGGGGAGGCCGTGCGCGATGTCCGATCCGCTCCACAGCAGCAGCAGCCTCAGCAGCAGCAGCAGCCTCAGCAGCAGCAGCCTCAGCCTCAGCAGCAGCAGCCTCAGCAGCAGCAGCAGCAGCAGCCTCAGCGACAGCACTCAGCAGCAGCCTCAGTAGCCTCAGCAGTAGCCTCAGCGCCAGCAGCAGCAGCCTCAGTAGCCTCAGCAGCACGCTCAGGCCTCCTGTGAAGCTGCCACCTCCTGCACTTGCCCGACCTTGTGATGGTTCGGGGGGGGGGGGGGTCTCTAAGGCTCTTTCCAAATGCTATTATTATTGTTGTTATGTTATTGGCTCAACATTCCAACGCAGGGCACATCTTGAAAAGGGAAGTCTTGGGGCTCTGCGAGCCTTTCCTGGGTAAACGATCGTCATCGGGGCCGCCCGCTGTGATGGATGACGGCGTACGCGGCACGTCGACGTCGTCCCACGCGGTCTCGCTCACGGCCCCCACCGGCCCCCCCTGGCCCCCACCGTGGGAGCGGTGCCCTTTGGAGCGCAGTCCCGAATAGCCGCCGCCTCTGCCGTGAGAACCGCACCGCCGCAGCTGCCACTGCTCCCAGTGTGGATCCCGGCCTGTCCACGTGCGTCCTCTCGGCAAGACTCGGGGTTCTTACCCCCCCCCCCCCCCACTGGACTCGGGAGAGAGGTTTGCATCGCTCTCCGCGGCGGCCACCGGTTCATCCTCAAAGCAGCAGCGGCGGCATCTGGCGTCGGGCATCTGGCACGGGCTGCCGGGAGCTTCACGGCTGCCGCGGGGCCCTCACGGCGCCCCTCCTGCTGCTGCTGCTGCGCCCGAACCGTCGCATCCACCCCGCCGCCTCTACGCCCCGGCTGACGAGGGCCGTGGCGCCCACACGGCACGCGCTTGGATCTGAACGCGGTGCTCGAGGTGCATGCGGAGGAGGGGGAGGTGGGGGTGGGGGTTGTTAGTCGCGGTTGGGTGCAGCCGCGCTCGCATGGCTGCGGAACGAACGAGGTCGTAAATCATCACCACGGCCCCCACCACGGCCCAGGGGCTCCCATCCGTGTCCACGCCTCCCCGCGAGGCCTCCCTCTACAACGGCGGTCACCGCATAGCGCGGCGCTTCTGCGGCCGTCTGGAACGCTCTCGCTTCCGACATGAGGAAGTCACTGGAGCGATGCGCTTTTACATCATCATGGGATTGACAAACGGAGGAGTGCGCGGGGGGAGCGGTGGTCACGTGGCCCCGAGTCGACGTCTCCGCGTGTCACGGCGAGAGCGCCGGGCCCCGGGGGACGACCCCCCCCCCCCCCACGTCTCTCGTGAGGTTCTCAGTGGCGGTCCCACGCCATCCCTCACTTGTGGCCCTTCTCCTCCTCCTCCTCCTCTCCCGGTGCCCTGCTGCGTGACCGCCTCCCCCGAACCGCGTGGGTTGCTGGGGTGGCGAGACCCGTGCCTCACCCCCCCCCCCCCAGACTGGTGCAGGGTGGGGGGCCAGGACCTGCGACAGACGCCACTCGACACTGGCGACAGACGCGGTCGGGACTCGAACTCGGGAGGTGGGGAGCCGCCACAGCGCGGTGGTGAAGGAACCCCCCCCTCTCCCCCACCCCCTAAAGCCCCCCCTCCCCACTCCCCCCCCTTCCCCGCCCCCCCTCCCCTCTCCCCCTATCCCCCGCCCCCCCTCCCCTCTCCCCCCCTCCCCCGCCCCCCCTCCCCCCTCCCCTCTTGCCCTACAGCAGCTACAGCTGCTGTAGCTACTACAGCTGACTGGGCGCGAGGCGCCCCGCGTACTCTCGGCGGGGAGCGCGTGGAATACCGCTCATGCACACCAACACCACCAACACCACCGCCACCAACACCGCCACCACCACCGCCACCACCAACACCGCCACCAACACCACCACCACCAACACCACCGCCACCAACACCGCCACCACCACCACCGCCACCACCACCACGCGTGTGGCTGCTGCTGCTGCTACTCTACTGCTGCTCCACGCCAGGATCCGTGCAAAGCGGCGCACGGGCCGGGGAGAGGGACGCGTCGCATTGCAAGCACTCGCCTGTCATCACAGCAATCATCGTCATCGTCGTCACAATCACTGCCCTCGTGTCAGTTCATCAGATCGCGACGCGAGGAGCGGCCGGCGTGTCTGCGTGCGTGTCTATGCGTGTGCGTGTCTGTGTGTGCGTGTGTCCGTGTCTGTGCGTGTGTCTATGCGTGTGTCTTTACGTGCGTGTCTGTGCACGCGTCTGTGCGTGTGTCTGTGTGTGTGCGTGTGTGTGGTGTGCGTGTCCGTGCGTATGTGTGCGTGTCTGTGTGTCTGTGCGTGTGTGCGCGTGTGTGCGTGTCTGTGCGTGTGTGTGCGTGTCTGTGCGTGTGTGTGCGTGTCTGTGTCTGTGTGCTTGTCTGTGTGGGAACGGTCCAGCGGTGGCAGCCGTGAGCGCGGAGCCACCGGGGCCACGCGGCGTCACTCGCTCAGCTCCGTCTTGACGCCTCCCGCCACAGCCGCCGCCGCCTTCCCGTGCGCCACGGCCGCCTCCTCGGGCCCCTGGTCGGCCGCGTGGCCCCCCGCGTGCGCGAGCGGCCCGTTGGCCGCAGCGCCGCCGTCGCTGTCGCTCACAGTCACCGCGGGGGGGCCCTGGGGGGCGACGTCGGCCTGGGGGGGGCGCCCCACGGCCTCCTCTCCTGCGGACAGCGCCGCCACCGCCGCCGCTTCGAACACCGCCGCCTGCTGCTGCTGCTGCTCCCCCTGCTCATGCTGCTCCTCCCCCCCCTCCTCCTCCTCCGGCTTGCCACTCGTCTTCTGCTCCTCGTGCTCCTCACCTTGACCCAGCACCACCTTCGCTTCCGCGTCGTCGCCCGCACCCTCCGCGCGCCCTCCCGGCTTCTCTTCAGCCGCCTCCTCCTCCTGCTCTCTCCCCTTCTCCGCCCCCGCCGTCTCGTCCGGCCCCAGGGTCACCACCCCGGCCCGCGCCTCCGCGGCCGCCTGCGCCGCGGCCACGGCCGCCGCGGCCACGGCCGCCACGACGGCCTTCCCCGCCGGCGAGGCCAAGGCGGCCGCCTGCCGGGCCGGCGTCTTGTCGGCGAAGACGATCTCGGCGTACTGCACCGCGCCGTGCGCCGAGTCGGTGTCGCCGCCGCCGTGGATCGCCGAGGAATCCTCGTTGGTGACGGCCACGCACGCGTCGGCATCCTCCTCCTCCGCCGCCGCGGTCGCCTCTTCCTCGTTGGGGGTGCCCCCCCCGTCCTCGGAGCGCACCTTCTTCACGTTGAACTTGAGCGGCGGCACCTTGAAGGCGCCCAGCTTGGAGCCGCTCGACTTCTGGTGGTTGGGCGTGAGCGACTTCTTGATCTTCTCGCGCCGCTCGGGCGACACGAACTTGTTCATCTTCTTCTCGAAGCTCTCCTTGGAGAAGGCCTTCTTGAGGCTGTCCATGCGCTTCATGCTCGACTTCTTCAGCCTCGTGGTGGTGGTCTCCACCTCCTCCAGGATGTACTCCTCGTCGGACGAGAGGTCCGGGGGCCGCGTGGCCGCCTCGTCGCCCGCTTCGCTGCCCTCGCCTGCGATGCACACCTCCTCGAAGCTCGAGTCCGCGTGCGCAGAGCCGCGCGCCTCGTCGGACACGAGCACGGCGGGGCCCGGCGGGGGGCCCACGGGCCTGCTGGTCGCCTCGGCCGTGGGCGTCTCGCTGCCTTCCTGCACCGCGCGGAGAGAGGACGAGAGAGGGGGGGGGGGGGGTCGTGCGTTAGGGTGGGTGACCAATGCCACGGCCGGTCGCCTCTGGCTCCCCAGTGGTGAGGCCCAGGACCAGTGTCGACACTCGTCACCGGTGTAGGTCGAACATCGGGGTCGCTGGGTTCGTAGCGCAGTGTGAGAACCACTGCACCACCGCTCCCCACAATCGTGGCCACACACATTGCCCATACAACTCAGCACACGTGGTGTCCTGTTCAGTATCGAGGCGGTGCTCCTCTCGCGTCTACAGCCCTGACAGAGTGGTGCAAATTCCACATTCCCATGTCAGGGTCGATTCTATCCATTATAAAACCACCGTTTGGTTTCCGACAACATGGTTCTAATGTTATCGATCCCGGATGGATGATGGGCTGAGTCAACCCGCTCCCCAACCAGAGGTGACCTCGCGAGCGGACGACTTGTGAGCCGCTCGCTCTGCCCGCGTGCCTGGCCGCCCAGGGTGGCAGAGCCCTTCGTTTCCTCTCGGCCACTCAAAGCCCTCGCCGCTCCACACACCCCGCACCCCTCCCCCTTCGCCCGCGATGGCCGTGGGAGCTTCCACCTGGGTGAATGTTAAGAGGCGTCGGCAAGCTGCGCCCCGAAGCGGTCGAGCGGCGTGTAGGCGGGTCGGGCGCGTCGGGGCACGGAGAGGAGCCGGGGTCGCGCGGACACATGTGAGCCGAGTGTTGTTTCGGTGACATTTAACGTCACGAGTTTTTAACCGAAACAAAAAAATTCGCGTGGACAGAACAACATCGCCACGTGGCCGCCTCGCGTCGAGACGGCGGCCGGGGATAGGCTGAGAGTGGAGGTCGAGGGGATTGGTCGAGGGGGGAGGGCTTCAGCCAGGCTTGGGGCTGTGGCCCCGAGTGGGACTTGGGGCTCCGCCGTGAGTTCGTGTGCTGGGGTTGAGATTGGAGCCCCGCGGGGTTTTGGCGAGGTCCGTGGGTTGGGTTCGGGTGAGGTGAGGGCTCGTGTGTGGCATGGGGTCGGGGTCAGGTCGAGTATTTTGGATGTGGCTTGGGATCAGTATCAATTTGACCTGTAGGGTTAGGGCTATGGTTAGGGCTATGGTTGGGGCTATGGTTAGGGCTATGGTGAGGGCTATGGTTAGGGCTATGGTTAGCGCTATGGTGAGGGCTATGGTTAGGGCTATGGTTAGGGCTATGGCTAGGGCTATGGTTAGGGCTATGGTTGGGGCTATGGTTAGGACTATGGTTAGGGCTATGGTGAGGGCTATGGTTAGGGCTATGGTGAGGACTATGGTTAGGGCTATGGTTAGGGCTATGGTTAGGGCTATGGTTAGGGCTATGGTGAGGGCTATGGCTAGGGCTATGGTTAGGGCTATGGTGAGGGCTATGGTTAGGGCTATGGTTAGGGCTATGGTTAGGGCTATGGCTAGGGCTATGGTGAGGGCTATGGCTAGGGCTATGGTTAGGGCTATGGTGAGGGCTATGGTTAGGGCTATGGTGAGGGCTATGGCTAGGGCTATGGTGAGGGCTATGGCTAGGGATATGGTGAGGGCTCGGGGCTAGGGTGAGTCACTGGGTTCGTGTTGTCCTCTTAGCCGCTGCTGCAGTAGCAGCAGCAGGAGCAGCAGGAGCAGGAGCAGCAGGAGCATGATGGCAGTGTGTGTTGTTCACCCTGCGATATTTCTCGGGTTTGTGGCGAAAAGGCCACCGAGTGAGCGGTGGGGAGGGGAGGAGGGTGGAAAGGGTAGGGAGGGTGGGGGTGAGTGGGTGGGTGAGTGGGTGAGTGGGTGGGGAGGGTGAGTGGGTGGGTGGGTGGGGAGGGTGAGTAGGTGGGTGGGTGAGTGAGTGGGTTGGTGAGTGGGTGGGTGAGTGGGTGAGTGGGTAAGTGGGTGAGTGAGTGGGTGAGTGAGTGGGTGAGTGGGGAGGGTGAGTGAGTGGGTGAGTGGGTGAGTGAGTGGGTCAGTGAGTGGGTGAGTGGGTGAGTGAGTGGGTGAGTGGGTGGGGAGGGTGAGTGGGTGAGTGAGTGGGTGAGTGGGTGAGTGAGTGGGTTAGTGGGTGAGTGGGGAGGGTGAGTGAGTGGGTGAGTGAGTGGGTCAGTGAGTGGGTGGGTGAGTGAGTGGGTCAGTGTGTGGGTGAGTGGGTGAGTGTGGGTGAGTGGGTGAGTGAGTGGGCGAGTGGGTGGGTGAGTGGGTGAGTGGGTGGGTGGGTGAGTGGATGGGTGAGTGGGTGGATGAGTGGGTGGGTGAGTGGGTGGGTCAGTGGGTGGGTGAGTGGGTGAGTGGGTGGGTGAGTGGGTGGGTGAGTGGGTGGGTGAGAGGATGGGTGAGTGGGTGAGTGGATGAGTGAGTGGGTCAGTGAGTGGGTTAGTGGGTGAGTGAGTGGGTGAGTGAGTGGGTCAGTGAGTGGGTGAGTGAGTGGGTGAGTGGGTGGGTGAGTGGGTGGGTGAGTGGGTGGGTGAGTGGATGGATGAGTGGGTGGATGAGTGGGTGGGTGAGTGGGTGGGTCAGTGGGTGGGTGAGTGGGTGGGTGAGTGGGTGGGTGAGTGGGTGGGTGAGTGGGTGAGTGGGTGAGTGGGTGGGTGGGTGAGTGGGTTGGTGAGTGGGTGGGTGAGAGGGTGGGTGAGTGGGTGAGTGGATGAGTGAGTGGGTCAGTGAGTGGGTTAGTGGGTGAGTGAGTGGGTGAGTGAGTGGGTCAGTGAGTGGGTGAGTGAGTGGGTGAGTGGGTGGGTGAGTGGGTGGGTGAGTGGGTGGGTGAGTGGGTGAGTGGATGGATGAGTGGGTGGATGAGTGGGTGGGTGAGTGGGTGGGTCAGTGGGTGGGTGAGTGGGTGGGTGAGTGGGTGGGTGAGTGGGTGAATGGGTGAGTGGGTGGGTGGGTGAGTGGGTTGGTGAGTGGGGGGGGGGGGTTAACGAGCTCGCGCTATAAATACGCGCGTCGCCACCGCCGCGTAGCTGGCGAGCGCAGCTGCTGCGCGCAGCTCCTCGTGACACTCGCCCCGCAATGGGCGCGGCGCCGGCTCCACCACCACCGCCAGCAGCAGCAGCAGCACCTCATCCTCCTCCTCCTCATCCCCCTCCCCCCTCCTCCTGCTCCTCAATAACTTCCACGTCCAGCCTTCACTCCGGACACCGCATTCCGCGGCGACCGTAGCCCGAGTCGGACACCGAGACCCGCTTGGGCGACCCCCCCCCCCCCCGCACGAGGTATTCCGTCCCTCATTAACAAAAACCTGATGGGTATTGCCGCCTGCGCGTGTGCACGAGCCGACGATGGCCACGGATATCGATCACTGCCGCCGATACTCACTCGTCCCTCGTCAGCATCATCGACGCGCACACCCACACCGATCGTCAGCCATCCATTGCCGCCGCCGTCAAATCCGTCCAGCCGTCACGAACCCACCACAGCTCATTAACGCTCGACCTTCATCCACCCAAATCATCGTAATTCATCAATTATACATCGGCATAATGATCACCATCAATATAATCCATCGTCAACGATCGATCAACCACCATCCGGAAAGGTCGTTGGCTTTTTCAGCGCCGGCAAAATGTGTATCTTCGACTCATTTCACTCACGAATTTGATAATTGACGCGTTAAGCAGGCGAGCAGTCGTGGCACTGCTCATTACTGCTCCTCACTGCGCGGGGAAAGCGGCAAAGCCCGCCACGGTGATTACGGCCACCGGTGGTGGGGCGTGGGGCCGTGGGGCCGTGGGGCCGTGGGGCCGTGGGGCCGTGGGGCCGTGGGGCCGTGGGCCGTGGGGCCGTGGGGCCGTGGGGCCGTGGGCTCACCTGCCCCGGGAAGGAAGCTCGCTCACCTTCATTTAAGACCCCACTGAGCTATTTGTCAGAAGCGGTCTGGCAAATCACAAATGATGGCTCAACGAAGTGGCTTGTCACGTGGAAATCTATCAAAGCCAAATCGTCTGAACGCGTGACGTCGATTCCACATGTGGAGGAGCAAACAAGAGGACCCGGAGACAAATCCGCGCGACCACGGAGAGGGAGAGACGCAAACTGCAAATATACAGCAGCAGCAGCAGGCGTCAGGGTCGGGATCGAACCCACGACCTCCTGCGTACCAGGCGAGGTAGTCAACATCTCCTGGCCGCCGTGGCGCGTCTCCATTGACCTGGATCCGCCTCGTAGCTGCGTCCGTGCCACGCGTGGGGCTGGTTACCGGCCCCACTCCGTCACGTGGTGCTGGTTACCGTCACACACCGTCACGTGGTGGTGGTTACCAGTCTCACACCGTCACGTGGTGCTGGTTACCAGTCACACACCGTCACGTGGTGCTGGTTACTGTCACACACCGTCACCACCGCCGCCTCGTCCTCGACTGTCCCCGCTGTGCAGCTCTGCGAGCTCTCCCCACGTGTGCGTGTTCGCGTTGTGGAGCGCGGTGCTCGGTGTCGATGTCCGACGTTTCGCTGCGCGTGCTGGAAACTTCCTTAAAAAAGAACTGACCTCAAATTCCGAAGAAAACTCCGAACACGTGGAGCGAAACGGCGGACATCAGAAGGGAATAACACGCGACACGTGGTTAGTAAGAGCACCAGCGCTCGCAACGTGAAGAGGGGACTATTGCCCGAAAGGTCGCCAGATATTTATAACTTTGTCGTCGTCGTTGTTGTTGTTGTTGTTTTCAGGGCCACCACACTGATTGTCATTAACGATCGTGTCGAGTTGCTATTCGACGGCAGTGAGACGGGAAAGGCAGCAGGCAACGCCGCTATCTCGACCACGAGGGATGGGAGTGGGGAGAAGGGGGGGTGGGAGTGGGGAGAAGGGGGGAGGAGTGGGGAGAAGGGGGGAGGAGTGGGGAGAAGAGGGGTGGGGGGTAGAGATAGCGGGGATGGGGGAGGGAGAGCGGCCATCCTCGCGCAGGGCGTTGCCGTCAAACATAGAAAGTTTCTTGGATTCCGTAACTCGAGAAGACAGCCCCTGCGCTGTACACAGCCGGTGGGTGGAGGAAGGTGGGGGGAAGTGGAGGATGGTGGGGGGAAGTGGAGGATGGTGGGGGGGGGTGGAGGTTTGGGGGGGGTCACGCTTGTGCCCAGAGCCGACTGCGCGCGCCGTGCATCGGTGACGCAGCTTCAGAGCTTCAGAGCCTCGCCGGCGGATTCCTCCGGGCTAAGTCCAGATTCCGATTCTCATCGCGTCGTGTCCCAGAATCAGCACCGCTGCCCACTGTGTTGGTGCGCAGAAGGGCACTGGCCATTGATTCACAACAGGCGGGGAGGTGGAGCGGTGGCGCAGTGGTTAGCGCGCTGCGCTGTGAATTGAAAACCTGCAGTGGGCGTCGTTACTGGCGATGGGGCCTTTGTTGCGCAAGGGCCATTGCCCGAAACGTCGCCGATGTTGTATAATGTATCGTTGGAGGCCACCGCGGTGTTGACCGAGTGCGTGTTTGTGCGTTGTTCCCATGAGCTAATCGGGACCATTTGCGTGGAGCGAACAGTGAGGGGAGGGGAGGGGGGGAGGTGAGGGAGGGGAGGGGGGACGCGAGGGGGGGGGGACGCGGGGGACCCGGGAACTCGCTGCGCGCAGCGAGTTCCACGCCCCCCCCCACTCGCCCCCCCCCCCCACTCGCCCCCCCCCCCACTCGCCCCCCCCCACTGGCCCCCCCCCACTCGCCGCCCCCCCACTTGCCTCCCCCCGCTTGCCCCCCCCCCGGGTGTGGCGGCCACGCGGGGAAGCGCCGAGAAGAGGGGGGGGGGGGGCGCACGCCGTGGCAGGGCTCCAGGTCGCCACGGTTCGTAAATGTCAGCAGCGTTGTGGGAGTGAGCGCCGCAAACAAAGACAAAGATCCCCCCCGTAGCCTTTAACAAGCTGTTGGGGCAAGTGCTGTTAATCAAGCGCCTCTGAAGGCTGGCACGGCACACTAGGGGGTGGTTGGAAACACCACGCCCGGCCGCCTTTGCATCTCCAATTCCGATGTTGTTTAGGCACCGTACCAGGTACTCGTTTGAGGCTGCGGAAATCTAACTCGGGTTCGCTGCGTTCCATGGCTGAGTGCGCTAACCACTGCGCCACCGTTCCCCGCGTGAGCGCCGTCGAGACGGAGCTGCTCGTAGTCGCCCGTGCGCTCGCTGGCGAGCTGTTACCTCCCTCGCCCGGCACGCAGGAGGTCGTGGGTTCCATCCCGACCCTGACGGCGCCTGCTGCTACTGCATATTTGGAATTTGCGTGTCTCTCTCTCTCTGTGTCTCCCCATGCTCCGAATCAACGTCATGCGTTTCGAGCATGTTGGCTGCGATAAATGTCCACATGACGACGACGATGATGATGAGCCACCTCGCTGAGCTATCATTATCGATGGCCAGGTGGTCGCTTCTGAACAAGAGCTACGGGGCATCTCAGTGGGGCCTCCTCGCCCGGTACAAACACAGAAACATTCTCCAGTTCGAGTCGACACCGCTGGGCGCGGGCGACTCTGCGCAGCGGCACACGGGCGAGGAGGGGCGAGCGGGAGGGGGAATCCGCGATGGGATGGACGCGTGTTCAGTGGCGTGAAGAGGAGGACTGCAGCGAGGCGATGAGCGGAGTGCACGCGGAGCTCGTCGAATGTTGAGGACCGCGCCACGAGACGCCAGCGGCTCTCACGTGGAAGGGCGCGCGAGTTCGAATCCTGGCTGCGTTGTGATTCAGCCCATCATTGTCACCCCACCGAGGTCGCAAAAGTAGGTAACACTTTGTTGCAAAAGTCAAAAGTGACAGCCTTATGGAATGACATGCCCCCGCCATGTGAATGTGGAATTGCGTATAATTGGCAGAAGATTGTAACCAATGTCTCAATCCTGAGTTGGGCAGAAAAGACACGTGTTTTATTATTTGTGTGCGTGTAGTGGTCATGAGCGTGCGCGTGTGCACGTGTTCCCACTCACGGTGAACACCACTTCCAATTATCTGAACCAGCCCTGGGCTTCCCCTGGATCGACTCGGCCTTAAAAACGACTCTCTGCTGCGATCCGCACTGGGGAGACAAAGGTGGCTGGGCGTGGTTCCGGCCACCCCCCAACCCCCCCCCCCCCGTGCGCGCCGTGACGACATCCACAGCTGCGGCTCGCGAGCAGCACTTGCCGCGACAAGTGGCATCAGCAGCAGCAGCTCCTCCTCACCTGGAAGATGAGGATGCGAAAGTTGTTGCGTCGCAGCAGGTCGCCGTGCTTGGCGTCCAACTTGCGCACCTGCGCCGCCTGCCGCTCGAGCCTCTCGCGCACGTCCTTGACGTTGGCGCTCACCGTGCGCGCCTTGGCCAGCACCTTGGCCACGGCCCCGTCCGTGCTCTGCCCGCTGCGCGCCATGCGCGACAGCTCCCCGGCCACGGAGCGCACGACGCCCTCCGTGGCGCGCTGGCGCTCCTCGAGGCGCCGCTGCGCCTCCTGCACGCCCTCGAGCATGCCCAGCAGGCGGTCCAGCAGCGCCAGCACCGTCACCGCGTTCGCCTGGGGGCCCGGGCGGATCTCGTCGGCGCGGAGTCGCGGGGTGCCCGTGGGGGACTCGGGCGCGCGGCTCTCCCCGCCGCCCAGAGGCACCGAGTCGAGGCTCCCCGAGGAGACTGCTGCTGCTGCTGCTAACGTCGCCATCTCGGAATGAACGCGAGGGGGTCAGGGCGGAGAGGTCACGGCGAGGGGGTCAGGGCGAGGGGCTGCTGCGTGCGCTGCTGATGTCACCGCTGCTGCTGCTGCTGCCGCCGCTGCCGTGCGCGCTCTCTCGCCCTGCGCTCTGGATTGGGACCCCCGTGCGGGGGGGTTTAAAGCGGGGGGGGGGGGGCAGCAGCAGCGCCGTGGACCCCCGGATTCTCGCCAATTGGCGGAGCGAGCGGCCCGCCCTGCCGCGCTCACTCCCCCCACTCGCACCCCGCCCCTCCACCCCCCGCGACCCCATCCCGCTCCCCCCTCCCCCTCTCAGTGGCATCCTCCTCTCTCCCCTCCCCTCCCCCGCGCTCCCCTGTCCGCTCCCTGGCCCCGGAGTTGTCACTGCCCCCACGCAGGCCGCGAAGGCCAGGGCGGCGCACGAGGGAGTGGCCGCGTCGCTGACACCACGCCCGGCCGCCTTTGTCTCCCCACTTCGCGGTGGGGGGCGGCGAGGAGGTTGCGCACGGCGAGTTGGAGCGAAGTCGCCACTCCACGCTGACCTCTCAGAGAAGCGGGAGGGAGGGGTGCAGGTGGGGGGGTGCAGGTGGGGGGGGGGGGTGCAGGTGGGGGGGGGGGGAGGTGGGGGGGTCGAGGTGGGGGGGTCGAGGGTTCTCGCCGTGCGACCTCGCCGCATTTGCACGCCACAATCCGTGATCATCGCTCCGTCTCCACGGCGGTGGGGCTCTCTATGCCGCGTCCCATTCCTTGGTTCGGTGATCCGCCGTTGTTCGTCTCGAGCCTCGGCCATCAAACCCTCGTCCAGCCGCGACGGGTTCCTGCCCAAGCGCCAGCTTCTCTCAGCAGATTGAGCGATGTCATGAACCTGCCCGCCTGTGTCTCCTAATCCCACGCGCCCCTATTTCTGTCTCGATGCAATTCGAGGCACGCATCCCCCCCACGCTGAAACGCGGCAGCGGGACACGCGTGCCGTGCCGGTGTTTAAAGTCTCGTTGTGAATGGCTTCGGTCATTGTTTTTGACTTCCCCCGTCGCACCCTCGGGATCGGAACGCGGAAAGTTGGACCGAAGTTGGGCCTAGCGGTGACCCCAAGGGTCCCAGCAGATTTGTTCCCGAGCGAGTGAGTCATTGAGTGAGTTCGTGTGGATCAGAGAGTGAGTGAACGAGTGCACCGGTGAGTGAGTTGACCAGTGACTCAGTGAGTGAGTGGACCAGTCAGTGAGTGATTGGATCAGTGAGTGAGTGAGTTAGGGAGTGACCCAGTGAGTGAGTGACCCAGTGAGTGAGTGGACGAGTGAGTGAGTGGATCAGTGAGCCAGTGAGTTAGGGAGTTACCCAGTGATTGGATCAGTGACCGAGTGATTGGATCAGTGAGCGAGTGAGTGGACCAGTGAGTGAGTGTATCAGTGAGCGAGTGAGTTAGGGAGTGACCCAGTGAGTGAGTTAACCAGTGAGTGGACCAGTCAGTGAGTGATTGGACCAGTGAGTGAGTGGACGAGTGAGTGAGTGGACGAGTGAGTGAGTGGACGAGTGAGTGAGCGAGTGACGCGCTGCTGCCCTGCTCGCTGACAGCGCAGGATGCGTCCCGAGGCCGCATTGTCAGGGGGGCTCTGCCGCTAAGCCTCCACACACGCGCGGATTTGGTCGTTTTTGTTGTTGTTTTTGTTGTTGTTCTGTTGTTGTTGCTCCGAGTCCGGTTGGAGATCGGCGAGAGCGCTGCCCTGCCGGGCTCGGTTGGGCTGGGCTGAGCCGGGCTGGGTTGAGCTGGGCTGGGCTGGGCTGAGCCGGGCTGAGCTGGGCTGGGCTGAGCTGGGCTGGGCTGGGCTGAGCCGGGCTGAGCTGGGCTGGGCTGCGCTGGGCTGGGCTGAGCCGGGCTGGGCTGGGCTGGGTTGCGCTGGGTTGCGCTGGGCTGGGCTGAGCCGGGCTGGGCTGGGTTGACCTTGACACGAAGAGGGCGACCACTCGCTGGAGTGCTCCCGCGCGAAGCCGAACGCCCACGAATGGGAATGGCCAAACATCGCAACGGCAACAGGAGCTCTCCTCTTGTAAAGGGCCTTGAGCCTCAATGCGACGGCGAAACTCTGAGCGCAGACCCCCACCCCCTCCCACCCACCCACCCCCTCCCTCTGTGTTTCCATGCGCCTGGGGAGGGGCTGTTCGTTGAACTTCTTTCGCACCGTACGCCGCCAAGCGTGCGAGTCGGAGGTGCGTGGGGAGGACGCGGCGTGGTGTGCCGACACACGAACACCCGCGGCCATTCATGGCGCAGCTCCCGAAGATAACAAACTCCCCCCCTCCCTGCCTCGCCCCTCCCTGTCTCGCCCCTCCCCCCTCCCTGCCTCGCCCCTCCCCCCTCCCTGCCTCGCCCTTCCCCCCCTCCCTGCCTCCCCCCTCCCTGCCTCGCCCCCTCGCTGCCTCCCCCATGGGACTCGCCGTCACCGCCTGCTGCCAAGCGCGTTTCAGAGCCGGCACGAGGAGCCCGATCCAGTGGATTCCTGACCGACCACAACAACAACAGCAGCGGCAGCAGCAGCGGCGGCAGCGGCAGCAGCAGCGGCAGCAGCGGCGAGCCTAGAGCTGCGTTGTGCCTCTTGACTCGAGTCCCGGACAAACAGCGGCCACCCGCACAGCCTCCCTGCCTCGCCCCCTCCCTGCCTCGCCCCCTCCCTCCCTCCCTGCCGAAGGAGGGAAACCCCCAGCACGACACGCCCCTGCGACGATGAGCAGCGGGGAGCGGTGGCGCTGCGATTGGCGCCAAGCTGCGTTACGAACCCGGCGACCCGAGTTCGATTCCCGCGAACTGTCGTGCGTGTTCGTGTAGAGTAGGTGCCTGTGTGTGTGTGTGTCTGTGTGTGTGTCTGTGTGTGTGTCTGTGTGTGTGTCTGTGTGTGTGCCTGTGTGTGTCTGTGTGTGTGTCTGTGTGTGTGCCTGTGTGTGTCTATGTGTGTCTGTGTGTGTGCACTTGGCCTGGCACAAGCATCGTGGTGACGTCACCGCCACTTAGTGGCGAATGGCGGTTGTTGTTGTTGTTGTGTAGGTGCCTGTGTGTGTCTGTGTGTCTGTCTGTGTGTGTGCATGTGTCTGTGTGTGTCTGTGTGTGCATGCGTGTGTCTGTGTGTGTGTCTGTGTGTGTGTCTGTGTGTGTGTCTGTGTAGGTGCCTGTGTGTGTCTGTGTGTGTGTGTGTCTGTATGCGTGTGCATGTGTCTGTGTGCGCGAGGTTGTGGGGAGCGGTGGTGTAGCGGTTAGCGCGCTGCACTATGAACCCGGCGACCCGGTTCGATTCCCGCTCACGGCCAAACACCGGCGACGATTATCTGAACCGGTCCTGGGCCTCCGCTAGGTCGACTCGGCCTCAAATGAGTACCTGGTGCGGTGTGTAGTAAACATCATCACTGGGGAGACAAAGGCGGCCGGGCCTTCGTAGGCGCTCGCTGACAGCACTTGCCCCAACAGTCTGTTAAGGGCTACACGGGGGATCTTTGTCTTTGAGCGGAACGCGGTGCGAACGAGACGGCGATCCGTGGCCACGAGGGGGCGGCACTGCCCCGTCTGAGCCACCAGCCCCGTCTCAGCCCCCACCCCCAGCCCAGCCCGGTCTCAGCCCCCACCCCAGCCCAGCCCCGTCTCAGCCCCCACCCCAGCCCAGCCCCGTCTCAGTCCCCACGCCCAGCCCGGTCTTAGCCCCCACCCCCAGCCCAGCCCCGTCTCAGCCCCCACCCCAGCCCAACCCCGTCTCAGTCCCCACGCCCAGCCCGGTCTTAGCCCCCAGCCCAGCCCCGTCTCAGCCCCCACCCCAGCCCGGTCTCAGTCCCCACGCCCAGCCCGGTCTTAGCCCCCACCCCCAGCCCAGCCCCGTCTCAGCCCCCACCCCAGCCCAGCCCGGTCTCAGTCCCCACCCCAGCCCAGCCCGGTCTTAGCCCCCACCCCCAGCCCAGCCCCGTCTCAGCCCCCACCCCAGCCCAGCCCGGTCTCAGTCCCCACGCCCAGCCCGGTCTTAGCCCCCACCCCCAGCCCAGCCCGGTCTCAGCCCCCACCCCCGTCTCAGCCCCCACCCCCTGAGCCAGTGGTGGCAATTCAACATTCCCATTATTGCGGGGGGGGGGGGGGGCGAGTCTTTAATAGGACAACCACTGTTTGACATCCCCACAAAGTGGCACTCGTTTTGGTACTCGTTGTATCGACCCCGGAAGGATGATGGGCCCGACACGTTTGATTCTGGGTGAAGACCAGATCGTGTTAAATGGACCCATTCCGCCCGGTGTCTCCGCGTTCACTCTGCACACTTCTGAGGCTGTCCACACTGAAACCCGAGCGCAGCGCTTGCTTCAGCAAGGAAACCTCTGGGCCGGTTTCGACCTTCTGGGTCTCATCAGCAGAGTCAGGCTCGTTAAGCAAACGCTGGCTGGGTCGCCACATCTTACTGGGCTGGAGAAATGGGCTGGATGGTGCGTGGAGCGGTGGCGCAGTGGTTAGCGTGCCGCGTTGTGAACCAGCCCGCCTGGGTTTGATTTCCGGCCGTGGCTGACATCAGTGGCGAGTGATACAACTAAACCAGCATCGGATCGTCCTCCCCATTCACCAACCTGTCCCAGCACCGTGATGAAGTGCGGTCAGACACCCCCCGCCCCCTCCTACCACGCAGGGCGGAGAGGCCTCCATCCAGCAGGGAAGTGAACGGTGCCAGCGTGAAGCAAGCAGCGGACACTCAAGCCGAGAGCCTCCCGCCAACCCACCGCTCGCTCGCCAGCGTGAAACCGGATCGCGCCTGCTTGGCCTTCGTCACTTCACGCGATGCAGTCGAACGTCGTTGCAACGCCGCTGGACCGGTCTCAACATTTGTGCTCTCATCAGCAGGGATGGGGGGGGGGGCAGACTTGTTAAGCAACCGCGGCTGGGTCATTGCGCAGGCCCTGGACCAGGGAGTTGGCGCTGCGCCGTTGGCATGGGACGCGGATGAAATCGGACCCACGTCCCTTCGTAGCGCGGCGCCCGGCTCCCCCCTCCCCCCCCGGCCCGTGGGACCCCGGTGCAGTTGCACCGCCTGCGCACCCGGTAGCTACGCGGCCACCCCTCTGTCTCGGCCACCCCCCACTGGCTGCTCGCCGCCCATGCCCGGCCCACGCGGCGTCTCCTGCGCGAGTTGAAAATTAAAGTCAAGCCACCGGGGGGCGCGGTCGTGGCCGTGCAACCCAAACTGTGGCCCATGCAGCGGAGCGCCGTGGCCTGCCGCTCCTTCCACATTGAGGAGGAGGAGGAGTAACAGCGGACACGACACGAACTCTCTCTCTCTGCTGAAGCCCTCTCGTGGCAAGCGCGAGAATGTCGTGAAATCGACGACGCTATCGATTCGCGTTGTCTCGTCTCCCGGGCCTGCCGCGACACTCGGACGAGAGCCACGGATCTCCGGCAAAGAAAAGGGAACCAAAGCTGAAAAGTGCGCGGAGCAATGCGGAGATGCGCACGCCGGGAGCCGCGAGGGAGAGTGACGGGGAGCGCCGCGCATCGGCCAGCGCCGCACGTTCGGGACGGCAGGTGCCGGGGGCCTTGGGCAGCGCCGGCCGTCGCTCCGAGGGACCGATGGGCGATGGGAACGGCGGCCGGCGTGGAGACGGAGCGCGGAACGCGTGCGGGGAGCGAGAGGACTTGTGGTATCTTGACTTGTGGTATCGCAGGATGTGGGGGGCGACCATCCAGCAGTCGATAGACCATGGCCGATGAAAATAATTCAGGGCTCGTGACTCTCTCTCGCATTCCACGCGTCGTCAATGTCACGACGAGCGGTGAAGAGCAGAGCGCCGTGAAGCGCCGGCGATGGCGTCGGAGCGGCGGTCCTGGCGAGAGTCGGGGGGTAGCGATGGGGTTCAGTTGGCCGGTGCGGTGATGGCCGTGGTGTGGTGATGGCTTGTGGTGTGGTGAAGGTAGAATCTGGTGGGATAGCGTGGCTTAGAGGTGGGCTTAGAGGTGGGCTTAGAGGTGGCCCCCTTCCCACCGTGGCGGCTCTCACGCTGCCTCCCAACGGTGCGCAGACTCCGAGCGCCACCGTGGGAGCGCGTCCACGCACACACATATAGACACTCCCTACACACACACAGATAGACACTCCCTACACACACACACATATAGACACTCCCTACACACACACAGATAGACACTCCCTACACACACACACAGATAGACACTCCCTACACACACACACAGATAGACACTCCCTACACACACACACTCCCTACACACACACAGATAGACACTCCCTACACACACACACACACAGATAGACACTCCCTACACACACACACACACACAGATAGACACTCCCTACACACACACACTCCCTACACACACACACACACTCCCTACACACACACACACAGATAGACACTCCCTACACACACACACACAGATAGACACTCCCTACACACACACACACAGATAAGACACTCCCTACACACACACACACAGATAGACACTCCCTACACACACACACTCCCTACACACACACACACTCCCTACACACACACACACAGATAGACACTCCCTACACACACACAGATAGACACTCCCTACACACACACACTCCCTACACACACACACAGACACTCCCTACACACACACAGACACCCCCTACACACACACACAGACACTCCCTACACACACACAGATAGACACTCCCTACACACACACAGATAGACACTCCCTACACACACACAGAGAGACACCGCGAGGAGGCAGTCCACGACGACCCCCCGGCGCTCGCCGCGCGCTTTTTTTTCTCTAAAAGCCGTGTAGGTTTATTTACTTGGTCATGCAATCGTGAACGTTTAATTACAATACAAATTGCTTCTAAGCTCTCCTCTTCCTCGTCGTCGTCGTCGCTCACGGACACTACTGGCACGGCGGAGACGACACCACACGGAGACACCACACGGAGACACGACGCGGCGCGGCGCGGGCGCAGCCCTCGCCCGCTCCGCTTGCGCTGAAATGCACGTGACTATGTCCGAAGAATTAAATAAATTACAAACTTTGGAAAAATCAGACACACACGGTAATGAACAATTTATACAGGTACAAACATGTTGTTGTTGATGTTGTTGTTGTTGTTTCTCAACTCGACAGTGTAAACCTCAAGCTACGATCCGAGTCTCCCCCAAGTCCACCACCTCCGTTTGGTCCACAGTGACGCTGCTGCTGCAGCTGCTGCTGCTGCTGCAGCTGCTGCTGCTGTTGCTGCTACAGCTGCTGCTGCTACAGCTGCTGCTGCTGCAGCTCCTGCTGCTGCTGGGAAGCTCCGTGACAGTGCTCCCCCCCCCCCCTGCATCGCTGCGACTGTCGTCTCCATTACTCACTCCCACCCCCCCCCCCCCATGTTTATGTCTTTTTACAAGACTATTTTTTTTATTTTTTCTACACATTTTTTAGTTAATTTTTTAAGACGAGTAAACCCACCCACCCCACCCCACCCCGCCCTTTCCGCCCCCTCCCACGCCCCCCCCCCCCGACAGCACCCACACCACCCGCCCCCAGCCCCAACAAAAATGTAAAATATTAAAAATTATTGTCGGGTCGTTGAGATGGCTCGAGGCGTCGGCGGCGTCAGATCATGAGCGAGGAGGCGGTGGTGCCGCAGTCCGAGTTGAAGTGGCCCAGGCTGTGCTTCTGCGGCCGTCCCCGCTTGCGCTTCCCGCACTTCCTGCGGGCCGACGGAGCGACGCACAGAGACGCGTCAAGCACAGGGAGCGTGGCGATGCTCGCGACGCGCAAGACGTCGACTCGAATCGCGACGCCACCGACGCACTCCGCACAGAGACACGGGGCTCTGGCTGTGGCCGTGCCGATAGTAGCCGAGCGGGCGGGTGGGGGGCCGGCCACACGCAGAAGCGCAGTGTGGAGGCACGGCCTCATTTGTGCCCAGGGCGGTAATGTAATCATGATCATTTCACCTCCCTTGCATCAACTCCATCCCCTGTCAACACCTCCCCCCTCCCCCTTCCCCCCCCCTCTCCCCCTTCCCCTCTCCCCGCTCCCCTCTCCCGAGCGCTACTTGCCGGACGATGCAGATGACGATGGCGATGATGATGGCGATCTGCACGGCGCCCACTATGGCTGCGATGAGGACGTAGTGCAGCTTCTCTCCGCTGGGAATCACGTACAGGATGTTGAGCTCCTTGTCGCAGCGGTGGCCCGTGTAGCCCGAGTCACACCTGGGGGGAGGGGGGGGGGGCGACACGAGTCATCGCCTCTTTCCCTCGGCACCCAACGCCGAGTCGTGGTAGCAGCGGCACAGCGTGGGTGGCACGGGCCCTGGTGCCGGGCACGGGACAGGACCCCTCCCCACCCTTCTTCGTGTCCCCGGCCACCTGGGTGCCTCCGGCCCTCGGGCCGTTGTGGGTCCCAGTGCGTTTGTGGGCCCCAGTGCGGTTGTGGGCCCCAGTTCGGTTGCGCCGCCTGTGCACTCCGTGGCGACGCCGCTGCGTGTGAGGCGCCGCGGCAGCGCGACCCTCGCCCGCTTTCCCGCCCCGGTGCTTCAACAGCGGCGCGCGTTGATGAAATCGGCCGGCAATAAACGCGCAATTCAGACGCGTGTAAAAAAAGGTTGCGCTTTGCGGAGCCGTTACGCACGACGCACCAGGCTTTATCGCCCCTTTGGCCCTCCGAGACTCCGAAAGAAAACAATTACAGCCGCAATAACAGCGCAAGCAGAACGCGCCATTCATAACGGCAGCCGCGCGGTCGTCACAGCCACCGCCAGGCTGCACCCGCGGCCGCACAGGATACTCGAGCCTCTCCACGCCGAGCCCTGGTCGACGACCCAGCCGAGCGTCGACGCGCCGAACCGGGCGGCGTGCGCAAACCCTTCAGACACAGCGCCGAGCCGCGCCGGCTGTGCGCGTGGCTGTCCCGCGCCACGATCGCCGCGTCCGTGATGGCAACTCGCGGGTTACGGTACGAGAATTCTCGCGGTGAGCGTGCACCAAGCTCCCCGGCCAGGGCCCTCCTTGACAGTGGCGTCGCCGCAGCTACCCCGAGGCGCGAGCTCCTCGCCTCCGGTCCTCGCGACCGCCGTCACAGTGCGGCCTCTTTTTGCGCTCGCGCCCGACGTAACGGCGGAGTGCGGGACAGACGCGGCCCTCCGCCGTGCCGGAGCCGCGAGCCGCGGTCACCACGCGGGGGACGTTGCGGACCGCTCGCCCCAAACACGCTCGGCAAAACGAGCACCACGTCGAAGGGCACCGTGACGTCTCGACCAAACGAGTCACGGAAACGAGGAACTCGCCGCGCGCGACCCAACCCGGACGGCGACGTGCGGTAAAAACACCGGCGACGTTCGACACGGCGGAGCGTGCGGCGGGTCGAAGGCCGCGTGGGTAACGCGGCGGAGGAGCGCGGTGCGATGCGGTGGCGCCTCACTCACTGGCAGGTGGCCTCCCGCAGGGAGTACGTGTACTCGCACTTCCCGTGCGTGCAGTACTCCTTGAACTTGTCCGGACACGGCGCCTGGGGGCTCTTGTAGACCTCCTCCTTCCGCTCGTCTTTGTTGCCTGCAAGCAGCGGATGCCAAGCCGCGTCGTTACGTCCCAACGGGGGAGGGGGGGGGCTGGGGGTGTTTCACGCACCGCGGTGTCACCGACCCTGCCGCCTCGGTCGACTGCGGGAGTCGGTTAACGTCAGCGGCAGGTGATATCTAAACCGGCCCTGGGCCCTCTCTTCGCCGGCATGGTGAAGTACGGTCAAAAGTTCCCCGTGACCAGCATGGCGTGTGGAGGCCGTCACCCGTGAGTAAACTGACAGGGTTCTGCATATCACAATCGTCGTCATTTGCTATGATTATCTCTGTATTAACCCCGACAGCGCTGTCAGCGGAGCGTCTCGCCCTCCGTGCCTGAATTATTTCCGTTAAGTTTAGAGAGATGCCTTCACGGGTTAAAACGTGCGGCTCTATCAGATCGCTTGGCCGGATTCGCTATCCACTAGAGACCTCGTGTCAATTTTACGTGAACGGCGCGATTGGTGCGACTATCCCGTGACAAATTTGACTAAATATGAAACGAATACTTCCAGTTGTTGCCCCCTCCCCCCTACTGCGATAATTCTCTCCTGACAAAGAGGCTTTAGACTACGTGAGTGTCTCCTGGGTAAACCACCTTCATGGGTCACGGTGGGTCACGATAGGTCACGGTGGGTCATGCTGGGTCACGGTGGGTCATTGGGTAATGATGGGTCACGGAGGGTCACGATGGGTCATTGGGTCACGGAGGGTAACGATGGGTCACGATGAGTCACGATGGGTCACGATGGGTCATTGGGTCATGATGGGTCACGGTGGGTCACGGTGGGTCACGATGGGTCAAGATGGGTCATTGGGTCACGGTGGGTCACGGTGGGTCACGATGCGTCACGATGGGTCACGATGTGTCATTGGGTCACGGTGGGTCACGGAGGGTCACGATGGGTCACGGTGGGTGACGATGGGTCACGGTGGGTCACGCTGGGTCACGATGGGTCATTGGGTCACGATGGGTCACGGAGGGTAACGATGGGTCACGATGGGTCATGATGGGTCACAGTGGGTCACGGTGGGTCACGATGGGTCATTGGGTCATGGTGGGTCACGGTGGGTCACGGAGGGTCACGATGGGTCACGGAGGGTCACGATGGGTCAATGGATCACATTGGGTCACGGAGAGTCACGATGGGTCACGATGGGTCATGGAGGGTCACGGTGGGTCACCGTGGGTCACCGTGGCTGACGATAGGTCACGGTGTCTGGGTGACCGTACCTTTCACTTCGGGGTTGTATCGATGGTTCTCATCCAGCTTCCTCACTGGCGTCTCCACTGGAACAGAAAATCACAAATACGCCAAGTCGATGTTTGGGCTTCATGCAGCAAATAAAAAACGGGTCACACCCCCCCCCCCTCCATCCCCCGCACGTCACTGTGCCACAGCCTCCGTGAGTGCAATTGAACTACCTCGTGCTGAAATATTAAACATCCCGGAGATAGATGTGACGGCTGTGTTGATGCCGCTGTTGCTGCGTGCGTGAGGAAGGGAGGGGGAGTGGGCGGGCGGGAGGGAGGGACGCATCATTGACACACGCACTGATGTAAGAGCACCCTGATTTTCCAAGCGCCTTGAGCCGTGATGATGCCTTTGATTCGATGATGAGATCGGACCGTGGGTGAGAGGGGGAATTAACGAATGCGCGGAATAATTAGTCGGCGCTTTGCCCACCTCGTCAGCGAAGCAAGAAATTGTAGCGAGCGGCCAATTCTCCTGTCGTAACAGCGGACACATCCATAGCCTCGGTGCGTCCTCTCCTGGTGAGACGAAACTCGCACCTTGCCCCTCACACCGCCGCCCACTCCCCACCAGGACGCCGCGTGCTGTGCTCGCGTTTGCGCGCCTCATTGCCCATTCCAGCACCATTTTATCTTCTCCGAATTGCTTCACTGGCCCCACGAGCGGCTTGCGGTGTCGGCGGCGGGGGTGCAAAACCATCACGCGATGCGGCGGCGGCAGCGGTGCCGGCGGAGCGTCTATCTATACGTCGGTACACAGCTATAGTTCAACGCATAGACAGGAACGCGCTCCAATCACTCTGAATGAAACCGGGAAGGCTGAGGTGGGGAGCGCGGAACCCGTGGCCGGGACGGACGAGGGTGGCCATGACCGGAGGTAGTCAGCGGTCAGTAGCAACGGGAAGGACGTCGTGAGCTCACGGTGCCACTCCATCTCTAACTGTTGTGCATGTCCGTGTAGGTGTCTGCGTGTCTGTGTAGGTGCCTGTGTGTGTGTCTGTGTGCGTGTGTGTCTGTGTGCGTGTGTGTCTGTGTGCGTGTGTGTCTGTGTGCGTGTGTGTTTGTGTAGGTGCCTGTGTGTGTGTCTGTGTGCGTGTGTGTCTGTGTGCGTGTGTGTCTGTGTGTGTCCGTGTCTGTAAGAAAGGGCGGTCCTGCACAGATGCCATATTTTCTGTCCGTCTGCTACAGCAGAGGTGTAGGGAATTCCAACAAGACCTACATCTCTGCTTTATTGACCTGGTCAATGCCTATGATACCATCAGTAGGACTGGGCTCTGGGTTGTTCTTCGTGCTTTCGGAGTCCCTGACCCTCTGCTCACGATCATTAAGGACCTTCATGATGGTGAGCGGGCCCGGGTAAAACTACGTGGCCGGGAGTCGGAGCCTTTCCCTGTACACCTTGGGGTGCGACAGGGATGTCCTCTGGCTCCCACATTATTTAACATCTATTTTGACCGCGTAGTTCGTGAAGCCTTCAATAGCTGTACCGGGGGAATTTCCATTTGGTACAGATATAATGGGAGGCTGATCGATGCCCGGGTGCGATCAAGGGATGGCTCCCTATTGGTCAACCACGTTATGTATGCCGATGATTTGGTAATAGCTGCTCATTCAGAAGAGGAGTTGGAGACGCTGCTGCTGAGACTGGAGCGTACCACTAAGAGGTGGGGCCTTACCATCAGCCCCACCAAAACTAAGCACCTGCCTGGGTATTTTGTACCATCGGACACTCCACCCCCACAACTCCCAATTGGTGATGGGGCAGTTGTGGAGAGAGTGGAGAGTTTCCCATACCTGGGCAGTGTGCTTATGACCGGCTCCAGTTTATCAGCAGAGGTCTCACTCCGAATCAGTCGAGCGGCAATATCTTTTCATCGGTTGCGTAACGCTGTGTGGAAGCTACCTGGTCTGTCGCTCCGCACGAAGCTTCAGGTCTTCTCGGCCACGGTCATTCCCTCCCTTCTCTACGCTTGCGAAACGTGGACCCCCCTAGTGGAGCATCTTCGCCGGTTGGAAACATTTAGGCTGGCCTGCCTACGATCCATCCTGGGTTTAACCAGGCTGGATTGTGTGAGGAGCTCACAAGTCCTTGAAAGATCTGGGCAAAGTCCCATCAGTGAGCTCCTCCGGCAGGCAACGCTGCGTTGGCTGGGTCATGTAGCCCGCATGCCCAGCCACCGCATGCCTAAACAGCTTTTGTTCGTCCAGATCGAGGGGGCTAAACGGGCGCGGCACGGGCTAGAGAAGAGATGGAGTGATGTGGTACAGGAGGACGTGGAGCTGAGTGGACTTGCCTATGACTGGTACCAGCGGTGTCAAGATCGGCCTCTGTGGAAGAGGCTCGTGAAGGACGCTACTGGGCAGTTGGAGGCAGTCGCCCTCCAACAACAACGGAGGGCGGAGGAGCGACGCTCACAACAACGAGCGGAGCGCCGGGTGGCTAAAGCACAGCAAGTTGGCACAGTAGGGGGCACAGGTGGTGCATCAGCCAGTTATCTCGGTCATCTCGGTCAGTCGACCCGTGGCACCTGCTGGGTCTGCCCCGTGACCTCCTGCCAGCGGGCGTTCTTCACGTGGCCTCAAGGTGCACATGGCCTGGCACAAGCGTCGTGGTGACGTCACCGCCACTTAGTGGCGAATGGCGGTTGTTGTTGTTGTTGTCCGTGTCTGTGTACCCGGCGGCCCAAATCTGGCGACGAATATCTGAACCACTCCCTGTCCTCCCCTAGGTCGACTCAGCCTTACATGAGTACCCGGTGCGTTGCCTAAACCTCGCCGCTCAGGAGACAGGCGACCGGGCGTGGTGCCGGCCACCCACCGCCTCGCGCGCCATTCTTTAAGAGGTGCATCGCTGCTAACGGCGCTCGCCCCTGCGGCCTGGTGAAGGCTTCGCGGGGGATCTCCGACTCGGCGTTCCTCACCCTGGCAGCGGCCCAGGTACTTGACCTCGATGAGCTCCTGGCGCATGCAGGACGCCTCGCGCACCAGGCAAGGGGTTGTCGTACGAGTTGCCGTCCGACGCGCACACCGGGTTGTAGTTGTGGCCCGTGCAGTCGATGTTGCACACGCAGCTGTGGGGAGAAGGGGGGGGTTGGGGCACCACAGAGCACGCGTCACAGCCCGGCACACCGCTGTAGCGCCACGCGGCAACCCCTCGCCCAAAAGGCACTCACAGCACCCCCAGCCGACACAGCCAGAGGCAGGACACGCGGCGCCTGTTCACAGATTCGTTGTCTATTTATTTGACTGCGTGCGTGCAAGTGATGTCATCACGTGTTTGCTCCGCGTGTGTCACTGGACGCACGCTGGGTGCCCTTGCAGACGGGATGTCCCGCCTGGAGGGATTACGGCAGGTGAAGTATTTAAATTAAATAATAATGAGCCACTCCCGGGAGCTGCTCAATCGTCCGGCCATCGTCGTGATGGTTCATTGCTTGAAGCCGATTCTTACGAAGCTCGAGGAGAGATCTACAGTGGGGGTGAGTTCCGTGCCACTCGTCACGGTTCAATCCTGGCCCAGCCGGCCTGGGCCACGATAACAACACTCGCATATACAGCAGAACCTCTGGTCACGAACGCTTCTGACCACGACCAAATCGGGTTCCGAACAAAAAAATGCACAAAATGTTTTAATCTGGTCACGAACACAAACTCGGGTGGCGATCAAACACGGCCGTGGCCGATTTCCCCTTCCGCGCCATTTTTATTTGTAAGCGCCAAATTTCCTGTTGTTTATTTACAAACAACACAAAGCGTAACAGTTATGTATATAACTTTTGTTATATAAAATTCCTAGTAAGATATTAATTTTGTGAGCGTAGTCATACCCCTCCCCACTCATTCAAGCCTGTAATTTAGAGAGCGAAAGCGCTGAGTATGTAAATCGCCAACATAAGAACCCGTTAATCTCTTCTCGCATCATTCATACGATGATGCGGTGATGTAAACGTTCATACGATATTATGGTGAATGCTTCTAAAAACAATACTGTACCCAAATATTACTGCTAACTTACTTTCAATAGAAACATGAATTGCTCATACGAATATTCTGTCTCTTTCTGTCTCAGAATCGACCGACTGATGTAGCAGACGAAACAATCATCTTGTTGAACGATGCTAAACCTTGACGCGGCAATGTTAGTTTTCTCTGTTGTTCAAGGTTTTCTCAGTGTTATTCAATGTTTTTACATTTAGTTTACTATTACAAAGTGAATTATATGGCATAATTAACTATTTTTGTACTTAAAAATCTTAAAAAAACAATATTTATATACAGTTCGTAGGAGTCTGGAACGGATTAATTGTATTTACATACAATCCAATGGGGAAATTAGGTTCGAGTCACGACCAAATCGGGTTGCGACCAAAGTTACGGAACGAATTATGGTCGTGACCAGAGGTTCTACTGTATTTAAGAACGCTCAAATTAAATCGTGCAAACGAATGACGAATATATAAGAAGAATTGAAATAACATTTTCAAACACTTCAAATCGTATGGACGACTCTCAAACCATTGTATCGCAAACGAGATGCTATTAATCTTACATTGAGCCGAACTAAAATTGTACAAAGTGGACAGTAACACGGAGGGCTACAAAATGAGAATTAAATGGCGACGTGATTCATTGGGGTTGCTGGGGCAGTGAATCATTGCGTGGCCACTGTAAATGCACGCGAGCAAAACAAAGATCCCCCATGAAGCCTCAACAGACCGATGGGGAAAGTGCTCTCAACGAGCACCTATGGAGGCCAGCACCACGCCCGGCCGCCTTTGTCTTCCCAGTAGCGATGTTTACACACTGCACCAGGTATTAATTTGAGGCTGTGGCAACCTAGGGGAGGTTCAGGACCAGTTCGGCGGTTCGGATAATCGTCACCGATCTTGGTGGCCGTGAGCGGCAATCCAACTCGGGTCGTCGGTTTCGTAGCGCTAACCGCTACACTACCACACACACGAGCGTGTACAGATCGCTCAGCCTTGTGCACAAACCATCAGCAGTGACACTGCACATGCAGCGATCCACACCACCAACAGTGATGGGATCTCCACGATCCGTGTGTGCCATTTGATTCCAGAATGAATTCCTTTTGAAGTTGAGATTTACATTTTTTGTACCTCCCATTTAGTCTGGTTTTTCATCCAGCAGTGGATTAACGAAAATGCCGTCCGTGCGCACATCTTCGCGAAAGGGACGCGGCAGCCCCCGTCGGGCACCGTGACGAACGCTCGACGCGCTCGCGCTCGCTCTTCAGGGGCGTTGTTCTGCGAGGGCGTCCCGCGCCACTCAAGGGCAAAGCAGTGGGTGCAGTGGGTGCAGTGGGTGCAGTGAGACTTCATTACATTCGATCCCCCACGCATCCCGGGCCTCTCTCTGGCGGCGCGGGAGACGGGGAAGCGTGAATAATGGAAGCTCAAAGGCTCTCGAGGCAAGCGAGTCGCGCATTAAAACACTGAGAGGGGGGGGCCCTTGCGGGGCCGGTAACGGGGAAAGCGGCCGGAATATTTTGTGTCCACGTGAATGACGAGCAAGGCCCGGCATTCGTACGCCGGCACTTGGCAGCGGCGCGCGATCGCTGGGACGATGTTGAGCCCGCTTCCCAGCGCATTCTGGCAATGCGCCCGCCGTGCCAGAAGCTTCCGGGGGTGATTACCGAGCCAAAACCCACCGTGGGTTTTGCCCAAAAGCCAAACGGCAGAACAGCAACGCACACAAGTTCGTACAATAAATAGCCACCTCGCTTCATCTCGGCGGTGGAACTTTCGCATTTTGCCGCGCATTCCGTTACGCGAGCGATTCCTCCGGACGCAGCAGCGGCGGCAGCAGTGACGGGTCACACGCGGTGCCACCCACCCACGGGGTGCCACCCACCCACGGGGTGCCACCCACACACGCGGTGCCACCCACCCACGGGGTGCCACCCACGCGGTGCCACCCACCACACGGTGCCACCCACACACGGGGTGTCACCCACACACGGGGTGTCACCCACACACACGGTGCCACCCACTCACGCGGTGCCACCCACCCACACGGTGCCACCCACCCACGCGGTGCCACCCACACACGCGGTGCCACCCACTCACGCGGTGCCACCCACGCATTGTGCCAGAGGGAGGGCCCGGGGGGTGTGGGGAGAGAGCGGAACCCTGAGAACTGCGGTGGAAAGGCAGGAGGGTGGCGCGGAGTGGTGGAGGAGGAGAGTGGAGAGGGGTAGAGGAGATGGAGGAGGAGGGGGGGGGTGGAGGGGGTGGAGGGGTGGGACTCCTACCCCACGTCCTCGGCGTCGTCATCGCACTCGGCTCCGAAGCGGCACCGTGAGCAGCTGCCGGTGCGGCGAGTGGAGCCGCGGCCCGAGCCCTCCGCATCTGCGCGAGCACAGACAAAGACAAAGATCCCCCGTGTAGCCTGAACAGACTGTCGGGGAAAGTGCTGTCAGCGAGTCGCACCTATGAAGGCCGGAACGGCATGCGAGGGGGGTGGGTAGCCAACACAACACCCGGCCGCCTTTATCTCCCCAGTGGTGATGTTTACCACACGCTGCACCGGGTCCTCATTTGAGGCTGAGTCGACCTAGGGGAGGCCCAGACCCAGATAATCGTCACTGCCGTTGGCCATGAGCGGGAATTGAACTTGGGTCTCCGGGTTCGTAGCCCAATACGCTAACCGCGACACTGACAGTAATACGCACGTACACACACGCACGCGCATAAACACACTTGCACACAGTCACGCACATACCACACACACACACACCACCCACACACATACCACACACACATACCACACACACATACCACACACACCACACGTGTGTGTGTGAGTGCGTGCGGACACTTGGCGAGAAACGCTCAATAAGCGACGATGTCTGCACACGAATCGTGAGCGCACAGACGCGTCTTTGCGGCCTGCAGTGCCACCGGTGGCCATTCCACATCCCCATGTCGGAGACGAGTCTATCCAAAGGACAAATCACTGTTGACGTCCCCACAAAGGAGCCTGCCAATTATCGACCCCAGAGGGATGAATTAACTCCTCGTGGCAGGGCCCTAGTATCCAATAGGCACAATAGGTACTGTGTCTATGGCCTATGGAAACTAATGTTGACCGTGTTTTTGTTGTTGGTATGATAAAACAAATACAACCATGCGGCAGCGGCCAGTAGCAGCTGCAGAGAGTTACCACCGAAGCAGAAGAGCCTAGGGCCTACAACAACCTTCATCCGGCCCTGCCTAGTGGGTGTCTGTGTGGCTGTAGTGGGGGTCTGTGTGGGTGTAGTGGGGGTCTGTGTGGGTGTAGTGGGGTCTGTGTGGGTGTAGTGGGGGTCTGTGTGGGTGTAGTGGGGTCTGTGTGGGTGTAGTGGGGGTCTGTGTGGGTGTAGTGGGGGTCTGTGTGGCTGTAGTGGGGGTCTGTGTGGGTGTAGTGGGGGTCTGTGTGGGTGTAGTGGGAGGCTGATCGATGTCCGGGTGCGGTCGAGGGATGGCTCCTCATCGCTCAACCGCGTTATGTACGCTGACGACCTGCTAATTGCTGCTCACTCTACGAGGGGGTTGGAGACACTGCCTGCTGAACCAGCAGCTTGCCTCTCAGAGGGGAGGCCTCACCATCGGCCCCACAACGACAACTAAGAGCACGCGACGCGGGTGGCGTCGCTGCCACGTGCGTGCGGCACCATCGGCCTGCAGGAGCCACTCACCTCCGTCCGCCGATCCAGATCCGGTCTCCACTGCAATGAGAGAAGCAAGAAGCTGCGTGAGAGCGGGAAGAGAGGAGCACGCGGCACGACCTTGCACTCGCTGCCGACCGTGGCTCAGTGGTGGCTCAGTGGTGGCGGTGGCTCAGTGGTGGCAGTGGCTCAGTGGTGGCGGTGACTCAGTGGTGACGGAGCCACCGTGCGTCCAGCGCCGCCGCCGCGGTGAGTGGAGGCCGAGCTCCGCCGTGAATAATTCATCGCAAGCGGCGCATTTTACGGACGGCCGGCATAAGTCGGAGTGATGGATCATCCCAAATATCAGCGTATTGATCGTCCACGGCAACTGCCGAGGGCGGCGTGCATTATTGAATCGGCGCCAGAGGCGGGGTTCGTGTTACTTAAGCGAGGGCCGGGCGCGCCGGCGCTAATTGCGCGTTTAGCTGCGCGGTCGTCCGCGCCGCGGACCGAGCGTGGCCCTCGCCACCCTCGCCAGACCCGACGAGCCGCTGATTCACCGCGGCCACGCGACGCCTCGAGACGCCTCGCGAGCGGAGGAAGTGACGGGTGCCGCTGCGTGGCGAACACGTCGATTTGCGTCGCGTGTTGTTTTAAAAAAAAAAATCCCGCGGTGCCACAGCCCAGGGCGCTCGCCGCAGAGGTTCGTGGTCTGGATGCGGCAGGCCGCCCGGGTTAACACTGCGGACATGCGCTGACGATAACCACGGTGGAAGGAGCTCCACCAGGCCGGTGGCTCCCACCCTTCCTGGACCCGCCCCGTCACCGTCAAACATTTGTCACGGACCGCTCGCACAAATAACGACGCAGTCGTTAAAATGGACAGGGCTCCAGACCGCAGTGTGCACAGGCCGCGGATCGGAGGCGCCGAGTGCGCGAGGTCAGGCGATGCTCACGGCGATGCTCACGGAGAGACGCACAGCAACTCACCGCTCAAACGAGCCACAATGAGCCAAGCGGAGGCAGTGGTGCTCGTCTGCTGTTTACAGCCCCGCAGAGCCAGTGGTGGAAAATCGACATTCTCATGGAAGGGGCCACAAATTAGCGTCCATTTTATCGACCCCTCGACCAGGATCCAACCTCGCCCAGCGGGGCCCAGCGGTGCGCGCTGCACAGTCGCAGCCACCACCACCGCCTCCACCACCTCCACCACCACCATTACCACCACCATCACCACCACCGCCACCACCGCCGTCACCACCGCCGCCACCACCACCACCACCGCCAACACCGCCACCACCGCCGCCACCACCGCCATCACCACCACCATCACCACCGCCGCCGCCACCGCCGCCACCACCGCCGCCACCGCCGCCGCCGCCGCCACCGCCGCCGCCGCCGCCGCCGCCGCCGCCACCGCCGCCACCACCGCCGCCACCACCGCCGCCACCGCCGCCGCCACCGCCGCCGCCGCCGCCGCCGCCGCCGCCACCGCCGCCGCCACCACCGCCACCACCACCGCCACCACCGCCGCCGCCACCGCCACCGCCGCCGCCACCGCCGCCGCCACCACCGCCGCCACCACCGCCGCCACCACCACCGCCGCCACCGCCGCCACCGCCGCCACCACCACCGCCGCCACCACCGCCACCACCACCGCCGCCACCACCGCCGCCACCACCACCGCCGCCAGCGCCGCCACCGCCGCCACCACCACCGCCGCCACCACCACCGCCGCCACCGCGCCGCATCTGACCCGGCGCTGCTTACCGGCATAGCAGGGCCCATCCGTGGCGGCGCTGATGTCCTCCTGGCGCTTGCAGGCCGCCTGGCGCATGAAGCAATCACTCTGGTACGTGTCTCCATTGGAGCCGCACACCGGGGAGTACTCCGTGGAGCACTGGGCGGCGACACGGAGGGGGGCGGGGGGGGGACGAGGGGGGGGGGACGAGGGGGGGGGGGAGGGACGGTCAGGACGAGGAAGGCACGGCGCGTCTCCCAGAGAGCGCCTCTCGTGCATCGCCCTGGCGGAGCGCGTGATTGGACGGCCCCGCTCAGCGTCCCGCTCAGCGCCCCGCTTTGTGCGCCGCTCAGTGCCCCGCTCTGTGCGCCTATCGCCTGCAGGCCGATCCCTCTCTGGCTCCCCGACTGTGGCCACGTTTCTATTTTTATTTTCACTTAACCTGATTTTATGAAAAGCAACTTTCTGGTGCTGATCCAGAGTTGGACCGCTTCAACAAACGCTGCTGGATTATAAATAGATTTACTTATTGGTGATGAAACAGACAGATCCTTGCATGTACACAGTATGCTGAACTTCTTTTGCACCGTAGGCAGCCAACCGTGCGAATCGGAGGTGCGGGGGAAAGACAACAAACTGGTCTGTCTGTAAACGCGCCGATGCAACACTGACATTGAGCAACGCATCTCTGGCCCTCGGCGGGATCAACGCAGACTCAACCGAACCGCGGACTGCAGCGACGGCGAGCGGCACCGCAACTTAGCCACGCGGAGGGAGCGGCTAATTGCAGACAAACCCACGAGAGAGTCACTCAAACGGGTTTTATTTTTTTGGGATAATCCACGGAAGGTCGGGGACGCGAGATGGAATTCGGAGGCGGCGTGGATCGCGCTTGAAGGGCACGGGAGGGGAGCCGCGGCCCCGCACGAATCAATTAGCCGGCTCTTATCGGAAGATGCCGGCTTATTCAATTGCACGATGATCGCTATCGAGATAAGCACACGCACGCACGCACACACACACACACGTGCACGCGCATGCACGCACACATACGCGCACAGCAGAACTCTGCGTGGCCACGACGGCATCTGCGACGCCGCCTGCCATGTCCGAGCAGCGTGCGTCAACCGCGCTCCGGTCGCCCTTTGTCTGGATGCGGACGAAGACGTCGCGCGCTCAAAGCGGCGCCGTGCGGTGCCCGGCCCAGAGGGACCGCAGCGGAGCCGCCTTTGTTCGCGCGTCGAGAGGCGGCGACGCCGTGGCCGCGTCGGGCGGCCCCGCCGTGCCCGCCAGGCGGTGCCGCTTCAACCGCGCCCGGTGCGGGAGGGGGGGGGGGTGACGACGCCCACGCCGAGCGTCTGGGGCGGACTCCGTCTTGAGATTTTGGAGCTCCGAGGTTTTTAGTCAAGAAGGAGACTTTTAAAAGGCCGAGCGCGTTCGCTTCTTTGTCGCCGTCGAAGTTTGGCGCGTCCCAAGGGGGGAACCTCGCGATGCCCGCGGGGGCGACGCGGTGGGAAGTGAAGACGCCGCGTGGCCGGGGCTCGCCTCGGGGTCACCTCACCTCAGGGTCACCTCGCCTCGGGGTCACCTCGCCCCGGGGTCACCTCGCCCCGGGGTCACCTCGCCCCGGGGTCACCTCGCCCCAGGGTCACCTCGCCGCCAGCACGAGGCCCCCTCCTTCCCCTGCCTATCCCTGGCCGAGCCGCCAACCCCACGAGCCGGGCTAACCGCTGCCCCCCCCACCTCCCCCCGCTTTGTTCTCTGATTGACGACGGCCGAGCCCCCAGTGACACCAGATGCTGCAGACGCGGCCACCGGTGTCACGAGGAGCGGGGGGAGGGGGGAGGGGGCTCGACAGGGACTCCCAGGGGGGCCGGGGGGCGTGGGGGGCTAATGACGCGGCCGTACGGCTGGCCACCCCGCGGCACGGACGGCGCGGACGGCGCGGTTGGCGCGGACGGCGCGGGCGGCGGTTGTGTGCAGCGCGGCAGCCAATCGTGGAGCAGCCAGCCCGACACGGCGCCGCACTCTCGTCTCATGCAGCTGTGCTCAGCCACCACCAGCAGCACCACCACCAGCAGCACCACCACCAGCAGCACCACCACCAGCAGCACCACCACCAGCAGCACCACAACCAGCAGCACCACCACCAGCAGCACCACCACCAGCAGCACCACAACCAGCAGCACCACCACCAGCAGCACCACCACCACAACCAGCACCACAACCAGCAGCAGCACCACCACCACAACCAGCAGCACCACCACCACAACCAGCAGCACCACAACCAGCAGCACCACCAGCAGCAGCACCACCACCACCAGCAGCACCAGCAGCAGCACCTGCACCAGCAGCACCACCACAATCAGCAGCAGCACCACCACCACAACCACCAGCAACATCAGCAGCAGCAGCAGCAGCACCACAACAACCAGCAGCAGCACCACCACCACAACCAGCACCACCAGCAGCAGCACCACCACCACCACCACCATCAGCAGCACCACCACCACAAACAGCAGCAGCAGCACCACCATCACCACCACCAGCATCAGCAGCACCACCACCACCAGCAGCAGCAGTAGCACACCGCAGGCCGCCTCGCTCTCTCCCTGCGTCTCCTCTCGCACGGCTCCACTGTGGAATCCCCCCCCCCCCCTCTCTGTCTCTCTCTGTCTCTCTCGCGCCGTCTCATTTCCCAAGCTCGTACAACAACAACAATGACCTTGCTCTGTTCAAGAAAGGCGATTCACTCGAACCGATCACACTCCCAATGGAGTGTGGACACTGCACGCGGTGGACACTGCTAGTGGTGGACACTGCCCCTGGTGGACACTGCACGTGGTGGACACTGCACGTGGTGGACACTGCACGTGGTGGACACTGGTAGCATGTGCCTCCCGCGGTGGTAGTGACCAACATGACTCGTGGTGGGCTCGTCTGCATCGTCGCCGTCTGCGTGCAACGACGCGGAGGGACGTTGGCCCCGACGTCACCTCCCCCGCGCTCTCTCCTCGTCGCTTGCACGGCCACCACGCGGCGTGTCGCCACCACGCGGTGTGCCCGTGCCCCACCACCACCAGTGGCAGCGCATCACCCACACCACACACACCACCCTCACACCCACCCACACACACCCACACACACCCACCCTCATTCCCACCCTCACACCCACCCTCACACCCACCCTCACACCCACCTACCCACACACACCCACACCCACCCACACACACCACCCTCACACCCACCCACACACACACACCACCCTCACACCCACCCTCACACACCCACACACACCCACACACACCACCCTCACACCCACCCTCACACCCACCCACCCCCACACACCCCCACACCCACACCTCCCACACACCCTCCCTCGCCGCTGCGCACGGCTGCCTGTAGCCCTGCACTGAGTGGAGGCAGCAGCAGTGATGGTTGGTGGATCACCGGCACACAGGGTGCGCGAGGCTCGAGGAGGACCCGTGTACCGTGGCTCGCCAGGAGAAGGCGGCAGAGCAAGTGGACTCTCGCCAGCTGGTTCTATCTTGTACGGGGATACAGCGTTGCTCCCTCGCGTGCATGGGTTTTTTATTCCAGGTGCTCCGGCTTCCTCCCACGCGAATATTAAACAAGAACTCATCATTGCTGGGCTGAGAACATCGTAAAATAAAAACCCTCCTGAAAAAGAGTCTCATGACTTTCCTGGATAAATAAGATGTGTATTGTTATCGTCAAAGGGAAAGATCCCCCATGTAGCCTTTGGCAGACTGTAGGGGCAAGTGCTGTCAGCGAGCGCCTACGAAGGCCGACAAGGCACACGATGGGGGGGGGGGGGTCAGCACCACGCCCGACCGCCTTTGTCTCCCCAGTGGCGATGTTTACTGTACACCGCACCAGGTACTCATTAGAGGCTGAGTCGACCTAGGGGAGGCCTAGGACCGGTTCAGATAATCGTCACCAGTGGTGTTGGCCGTGAGCAGGAATTGAACTCGGGTTGCCGGATTCGTGGCGGAGCGCGCTAACAACTACTACACACACACCCACACAGAGATATACACACACAGACACACACACCCACACAGACACACACACACTAACACACACACACACCCACCACACACAGACACACACACACCCACACACAGACACACACACACCGACACACACACCCACACACACACCCACACACACACCCACACACAGACACACACCCCTACCCACACACTCACTCACTCACACACACCCACACACCCACACATCCACACACCCACACACCCACCTACCCGCACACTCACCCACCCACACACACCCACACACACACTCACCCACCCACACATCCACACAACAACAACCGCCACTCGCCACTAAGTGGCGGTGTCGTCACCACGACGCTTGTGCCAGGCCATGTGCACCTTGAGGCCACGTGAAGTGTCGAACGCCCGCTGGCAGGAGGTCACGGGCAGACCCAGGTGCCACGGGTCGACTGACTGAGATGACCGAGATGACTGGCTGATGCACCACCTGTGCCCCCTACTGTGCCAACTTGCTGCGCTTTAGCCACCCGGCGCTCCGCTCGTTGTTGTGAGCGTCGCTCCTCCGCCCTCCGTTGTTGTTGGAGGGCGACTGCCTCCAACTGCCCAGTAGCGTCCTTCACGAGCCTCCTCCACTGAGGCCGATCTTGACACCGCTGGTACCAGTCATCGGCAAGTCCACTCAGCTCCACGTCCTCCTGTACCACATCACTCCATCTCCTCTCTAGCCCGTGCCGCGCCCGTTTAGCCCCCTCGATCTGGCCGAACAAAAGCTGTTTAGGCATGCGGTGGCTGGGCATGCGGGCTACATGACCCAGCCAACGCAGCCTTGCCTGCCGGAGGAGCTCACCGATGGGACTTTTCCCAGATCACATCCACACACACCCACCCACACCCACACACGCACCCACCCACCAACCCCCACACCCACCCACACACCCCCCCACCCACACACCCCCCCCCCCCCACACACCCACACCCACCCGCTCACCCCCCCGCTCACCTGGAAGGCGCTGCACACGCAGGCGACGGCGTCTCCCACCCACACACTCACCCACATACCCACACACACACTCACTCACCCACCCACCCACACACTCACTCACCCACACACCCACTCACCCACACACCTACCCACCCACACACACCCCCCCCGAGCACCCACCCACACCCACCCACACACACTCGCCCCCCCCCCCGCTCACCTGGAAGGCGCTGCACACGCAGGCGACGGCGTCTCCCACCCACACACTCACCCACATACCCACACACACACTCACTCACCCACCCACCCACACACTCACTCACCCACACACCCACTCACCCACACACCTACCCACCCACACACACCCCCCCCGAGCACCCACCCACACCCACCCACACACACTCGCCCCCCCCCCGCTCACCTGGAAGGCGCTGCACACGCAGGCGACGGCGTCTCCCACCCACACACACCCCCCCCCCGCTCACCCACCCACACACACACACACTCGCCCCCCCAGACACACCCCCCCCCCGCTCACCCACACACCCCCCCCCCCCCGCTCACCTGGAAGGCGCTGCACACGCAGGCGACGGCGTCTCCCACTTCGGCGCAGACGCCGCCGAAGCGGCACGACGAGTCGTCGCACGACGACAGCTCCGCACCCCCCTCCCGCTCGTTGTAGTCTGCGGGCCACGAGGGGGGCAGGGGGAGGGGCGAGGGGGAGGGGGCCAGGAGGAGGGGGGGGGCGAGGGGGAGTGAATAATTAATGAGGCCGAGCGCCGCGGCTGAGTGCACAGCGGAGGATGGAAAAATTCAACATCCGTGGGGTGGAGTGGCTGGGGGGATTTATTCACCACGGCTTGCTCCATAGACACGCGCTCAGCCCGCTCGGTGCGTGTACACGCGTCTCTGTGTGTGTGTACACACGTGTCTCTGTGTGTGCACACGCGTCTCTGTTTGTGTGTACACGTGTCTGTGTGTGTGCACATGTCTGTGCGTGTACACGCGTCTGTGTGTGTGTGTACACGTGTCTCTGTGTGTATACACGTCTCTGTGTGTGTGTGTACACGTATCTGTGCGTGTGCACACGCGTCTCTGTGTGTGTACACGTGTCTGTGTGTGTGTACACGTGTCTGTGTGTGTGTGTACACGCGTCTCTGTGTGTGTGTACACACGCGTCTCTGTGTGTGTGTACACGCGTCTCTGTGTGTACACGTGTCTGTGTGTGTGTACACATGTCTGTGCGTGTGTGTGCACATGTCTGTGCGTGTGTGTGCACATGTCTGTGTGTGTGTGCACATGTCTGTGTGTGTGTGTACACGTGTCTGTGTGTTTGTGTACACACACACACAGACATGTGCACACACACACAGACATGTGCACACACACGCACAGACATGTGCACACACACGCACAGACATGTGTACACACACACAGACACGTGTACACACAGAGACGCGTGTACACACACACAGAGACGCGTGTGTACACACACACACAGAGGAGACTGCGGCTCTGTGTGTGTACACGTGTCTGTGTGTTTGTGTACACACACACACACAGTACACGCAGAGTACACACACACAGTACACACACACAGTACACACACAGTACATACAGTACACACACAGTACACACACACACAACACACAGTACACACACACAGTACACACAGTACACACACACAGTACACACACAGCACATACGGTACACACACAGTACACACACACACAACACACAGTACACACACAGTACACACAAACAACACATACGGTACACACACAGTACACACACACAGCACACACACACAGTACACACACACAACACATACGGTACACACACACAGAGGAGGGGTGAGGAGGAGTGGGGGGTGGTGAGTGAGGGGGGGAGTGGGGTGTGGGGGGTGGGGGGCATCTCGAGGCGACGCTGCTGCCCACAGAGGTGACCACCGCCACCACCGCCACCACCACCGCTACCACCACCACCAGAGCGGATTTCTTTATGTCCATGCTCGACTCAAACGGCGGAGAGAGACAAAGCGGACGGGGGGGGGGGGGGGGGGGCTGCTGCTGCTGCTGCTGGGCGCGCGGGGGGGGATCTCTCAGCCCGAGCCGCGCGTCATTAACGCGGCGCCTGCCGCACAAAGGCGAGAGCCGCAGTCTCCTCGCGCCCCCATTGTAGGCCCCCCCCACCCTCCTCTATTGATCCCGCAGCCCTACAAAGCGGGAGGGGGGGGGCAGGGGGAGCGAGGGGGGGGGCGAGTTCCAGAGACGCCGCCGCATTGAGCCGCTGCTGCTGCTGCTGCTGCATTATCTGTGCGCCGTGCGGGATTTACGAGCCCTGCCACCAACACCGCCACTCGGCCCCCTTATCCCCTCGATTCACAGCCCCCATGCACCCCTACAGCCTCGCACAGTAGACAAAGATCCCCCGGGTAGCCTCAACAGACTGTTGGGGCAAGTGCTGCTGTAGCGAGTCGCAAGCACGGCACACGCCACGCCGCGCGTTCCTCTCTCTCTGCCATCTGCACGGAGCGCCTCTCGCTCCGTGTAATTTGAGAGCCAAAACTCGATTCGTGTGGGTGGTGGAGCTCCGGGGGGGAGGGGGGGTCACAAGGTCGGACCGCAGCATCTCGCTAACAGCGCCACTGGTCTCCCCCGCATCAAATCAACCCCCACCCCCCCAGCTCTCTCTCCTCTCGTCAATCGCCGCTCCTCCTTTGTCGCGATGGTTTTCGAGCCCCCCCCCCCACCTCTCTCCATCTCTTGCTGGCGCTGACCAGCCAGCTCCTCGTGGGCCACGGTGCCGGCCTCCTTCATAGCTGGTGCTCGCTAGCAGCACTTGCCCCTACAGCCTGTCGAGGCTGCACGGGGGAGCTTTGTCCTGTCTCTCGCTCGCGCGCGCGCGCGCGTTCCCTCTGCCTCGTTGCCACGCTACTGGTCACGCAGAATGGAGGGCATTCAGTGTGAGTGTGTGTATGTGTGTGTGTGTATCTGTGTGTGTATCTGTGTGTGTATGTGTGTATCTGTGTGTGTGTATCTGTGTGTGTGTATGTGCGTATCTGTGTGTGTGTATCTGTGTGTGTGTATGTGCGTATCTGTGTGTGTGTATCTCTGTGTGTGTATGTGTGTATCTGTTGTGTGTGTATGTGTGTGTATGTGTGTATCTGTGTGTATATGTGTGTGTGTGCATCTGTGTGTATCTGTGTGTGTGTATCTGTGTGTATCTGTGTGTATCTGTGTGTGTGTATGAGAGTGTATCTGTGTGTATGTGTCTGTGTATATATGTGTGTGTGTATCTGTGTATATATGTGTGTGTGTGTATCTGTGTGTGTGTATGTGTGTGTGTCTGTGGGTGTGTGTGTATGTGTGTCTGTGTGTGTGTATCTGTGTGTGTATCTGCGTGTATGTATATGCGTGTGTATATGTGCGTGTATGTGTGTGTATCTGTGTGTGTGTGTCTGTGGGTGTGTATCTGCGTGTATGTATATGCGTGTGTATATGTGCGTGTATGTGTGTGTATCTGTGTGTGTGTATATCTGTGTGTGTGTATCTGCGTGTATGTATATGCGTGTGTATATGTGCGTGTATGTGTGTCTGTGTGTATCTGTGTGTATGTATATGCGTGTGTATATGTGCGTGTATGTGTATCTGTGTGTGTATGTATATGCGTGTGTATATGTGCGTGTGCGTGTGTGTGTGTATGTGTGTGTGTCTGTGGGTGTGTATCCGTCCGCTAATCCTATTTTTCACGGTCCTTCTGCCGTTGACACCGCGGCTGTGACGAGCGGGGGGCGGGGGGCGGGGGGCGGGGGGCGCTGCGGGGTGCTTTGGGGCGAGATGAGGGGGAGGGGGTGAGGAGGAGGAGGGGGGGAGGAGGGGGGAGGAGGGGAGGAGGAGGGGAGGAGGAGGGGGGGAGGAGGGGGGGAGGAGGGGGGGGGGTGCGCCTTGGGAAGGAGGCGACATCACAGCAGCGGCTGCGCCGTGCGCATTCATCTCCCAGCAGCCGGTGGGTGATTAGAGAGCAACACGTCACCGCCACCACCACGGCCTCCTCTGGGGCTGCCGCGAGGCCGAGTCCGACGTTCGACCTCGCGGCCCCTCCGAGTGGCGCGACGTGAAAGCGCCGCTCCGGGGTTTGCGAGTCGCGCTCAGAAACAAATAAATCACTGGCGCGCCTCGAACGCGGCTATCGACGTCGATGTGCAACTTGACACGGCTACACGCGCAGCCAAATGGCCAGAGAGTGTGAGAGAGCGTGAGAGTGTGAGAGAATGTGAATGAGTGTGAGCGCGTGAGTGAGTGTGAGAGAGTGAGAGTGTGAATGAGTGTGAGAGAGCGTGAGTGTGTGAGTGAGTGTGAATGAGCGTGAGTGAGAGTGTGAGTGAGAGTGTGAGTGTGAATGCACGCGGCATTGTAAGCACGGCAATCACGCTCCCCGTGCCAATTCCACCCCCCGCCCCCCCTTCGCCGCGTCCCGCCGTCCCAGGTGTCGTCACCTTGCCACGAATCAACAAGAAGACGCTTTTGTCTGCCGGGCGCGCGTCCCGGGGCGCGCTGCCTCTGAGCGCGGAGCGCGGAACGACCCCCTCGCTCCACGATCGCGCCGTGGTCACCTCGACTCGCCTCCCCCCTCCACCACCACCTCCACCTCCACTACCACCTCCACCCTCTCGCCTCTCTCTCTCTCTGCATCGCTCGCCTCCCGAATTGTCCCCGGGTCGAGTGGAGACGCCGAGAGCCGCCGCCGCCGCCTTCACCCCGCGCCAGACCCCGGACAAAGCCCGACCGCTACCGCGGTGTGGCGGGGTCGGGGTGGCGGTGAGAGAGAGAGACCCCTGCCGCTCACCTGCGCAGTTGCCGTGCTTGCCCTTGCCCCTGCAGCCGGGGGACGAGGAGCCGCGTCCGCCCTGCGCCTCGGCCACCGCGACCAGCGCGCCCACGAGGAGAGCCGCTCGCCACAGCGCCGACGGGAGGCCTCCCTCCATGGCAGCCTTCCCCACCACCCACTGCCGCCTGCGGCGCTCGTGGCGATGCCTCTGTGCCTCTTGTTGCTCCTCCTGCTGCTGCTGCTCCTCCTGCTGCTGCTCCTGCTGCTGCTGCTCCTGCTGCTGCTGCTGGCGAGTGTGCACGCTGACCATCATCAAGAGCGACTCTTCAATCGGGGCGCGCCTTTGTGCGTTTTTTCCCCCCTTGTTGTTAAATCCCCAATATCTCGAGGATGCCAACTCGTGCGTGATCCCCGCCCTCTATGAAGACGCTCTCACCGACGCCTCTCGATTTCGTCCTCCTCTCGCTCCCCGTGCCTCACCCTTTCTCTCTCGCTCTCTATGTTTTACAAAAATATTTTATCACAAAGCCGCCGCGCGTCGTCAGAGGAACGCGCGGACGCGCTGCAGATCGCCACGAGGAGCGGGCCGACGGCGAGGAGGAGGAGGAGGATGAGGATGAGGGAGAAAGGGAGAAGACATCGCCCGGCTGAGGTTCGCAGCGCACACCGCGGCGTCTGGCGGCAAGGGGCGGCAAGGGGCGGGCGGCGTCAGCCGCGAGGATGGACGCGCTCCGTGGCGCTCGGTCCGCGCCTCGGTGACGGAGCGGCGCACAAAGGCGAGAGGAGGGGGAGCAGCGGCAGGAGCAGGGGGAGCAGGAGGAGCAGGAGGCAGCGAGCGAGCGAGCCGCTCATCACAGCGACGGCGGCGAGGAGGAGGAATCGCTGAGCCCGGCGAGCGCGGGATCGGAGCTGCTGCTGCTGCTGCCGCTGCCCGAGTTCGCGTTCCCTCGGGAAACGCCGGAGAAACCCGCTCTCATACAGCTGCTGCTGCTGCTACAGCTACAGCAGCTACAGCAACAGCAGCAACAGGAAGCGGACGGAGATGGGGGAGGAGGAGGGGGAGGTGCAGAATGAGCAGCAGCAGGAGGAGGAGCAGGGGGGTGGTGGTGGAGGATGATGATGATGGGCTGGTGAGGTGGTTTGTTTGGGGGAGGTAGGTGGGTGATGGAGGAGGAGGAGGGGGAGGGATGTGAGGGTGGGTGAGGGTTGTGGGGTGCAGGAGGGGGGGGGCTGGCTGAATGCGTGTGGGGGAGGGGAACGGCAGGCGATGTGAAATCTGCCAGGGCGAGAGAGGGAGAGATGGAGGGCGGGAGGGATGGAGGGCGGAGAGGACGCGGAGCGGCGTCTGAAGGCGGCGCCTCTCATCGCGATCTCCACATCGCGATTATCGCCTCGCTCTGCGCGCGGGTGGATCCGTGAGGTCTGGAGGCGCCTCTCCATCACGCGCGCGTCTCTCTCTCTCTCTCTGCAGGGAGCTGCCTACAGACGTGTTTTATCAAAGCACAATCTCGGTCATCGAAGCTCCTTGAGGGAGCATCCGGTTGCTCTGCCCACCCCGAGGCTGGCGTCGATGGAGTTGCCCCAGCGAGTCGGGGTCGCTCTGCGGGAGCTGCTCGCCGGCACGCCGCCATGCCCCTGTCGCACCCCCCCGGCCCCTCTGCCTGCGTGATGCTTGATCCACTTCGCAAGTCTCCCCTCTCATAGTCCCCTCCTCTCTGTAACTTCTCTCTCTCTCGTACTCAGATACAACTACCTCCTTCTCATCATCAGCAGCATCAGGAGCAGCATCCTCCTGCGAGCACGACGCGCCGTGCCCGCTCCTTCCCTCACGCCGCATGGTGCGCGTGTGTAGTGTGTACACGTGTGTGTGTGTACACGCGTGTAGTGTGTACACGCGTGTGTGTGTACACGTGTGTGTGTGCACGTGTGTGTGTGCACGTGTGTGTGTGTACACGTGTGTGTACACGTGTGTGTGTGCACGTGTGTGTGTGTGCACGTGTGTAGTGTGTACACGTGTGTGTGTGCACGTGTGTGTGTGTGCGCGTGTGTGTGTACGCGTGTGTGTGCGCGTGTGTAGTGTGTGCACGTATGTGTGTGTGCACGTGTGTGTGTGCACGTGTGTGTGTGTGTACACGTGTGTGTGTGTACACGTGTGTGTGCACGTGTGTGTGTGTGAACGTGTGTGTGTACACGTGTGTGTGTGTAGTATGTGTACACGTGTGTGTGTGTGTAGTGTGTACACGTGTGTGTGTGTGTAGTGTGTACACGTGTGTGTACACGTGTGTGTGTACACGTGTGTGTGTGTGCAGAGGAGACTCGTGAGGTAAGCTACTGGGCAGTTGGAGGCAGTCGCCCTCCAACAACAATGGAAGAGGAAAGCTCACAACAACGAACGGGAGCGCAGGGCGAATAAAACGCAGTGAGTTGACGCAGTGGGGAGCGCATGCGGTGCATCTTGCAGCCATCTCACTCAGCCAACGCACGGCCACTGGCTCTGTCCCGTGATCTCCTGCCAGCAGCGGGGCCTTCCACACTTCACGTGGCCCCGGAGTGCACGTAGCCTGGCACAAGCGCCGTGGTGACGTCAGTGCCACTTAGTGACGAACGGCGCCTGATGTCGTCGCGGGTGTGAGGGTGACCCCATGACCCCTCTTCTCCATCTGCGTGTCGCCGAACGCGAGCCGCGAGTCGCCATCTGTTGAGGGCGACCGAAGCGTCGGCGGTGGTGGCGGTGGTGGGTGGTGGTGGATGGTGGTGGTGGCGGTGGTGGCGGTGGTGGGTGGTGGTGGCGGTGGTGGCGGTGGTGGTGGATGGTGGCAGTGGTGGTGGCGTTGGTGGTGGCTGTGGTGGCGTTGGTGGTGGCGGTGGTGGTGGCGGTGGCGGCGGTGGTGGTGGATGGTGGTGGTGGATGGTGGTGGTGGTGGTGGCCTCGAGCGCGTGCCACGGGCACCGCACGGGCAGACGGAACGCGATGCCGGTCCCTGAGCCTGCTGGCGTTTCACGTAGCAGGGCAGCGTTACCTCGGCAGGGTTTGTTCAAGCGAGCTGACTCTGGAGCGGATTTCACGAGCCGGATCTCGTGCGACAGGCACGGGATTGGCCCGGGCGGGTCTGGGACTCCGTTCCCAGCCTCCCGTACTCCGCTCCGCGCGTGGGCGGTCAGCCCGTGGCATCTCCTCCATTCACGGGTAATTTCTAAAGATTTCCGCGCTCTGTTGACACGGAGACGCGGGCGCATGGATCCGCGCTAAGTGATCCAACGGACGGAGTAACGTAGATGACACGAGTGGATATCTGAGCGGAGAATTCACCATAAAATCGACACCCTTATACACCCCACCCACAACGGGAACTTGGGAATTGGGTGATGCGAGTGCGAGATGGGTGCCGTGCCGTCTTGCCCTGCCGGTAACGATCATCGTTCAGCAAGTTAATATGCAGCCCGTTCTCAATCCACTGCTGGATGAAGGCCTACCCCCGCGACGTGTCGGCCACCGCGGGTTGATGCGAGGCGAGTCGCCCAGACACCACTCGCCACTGACGTTAGCCGCTCACAGCGACACTGCCGCAACACGAACCCGGCACGGCGATGTCTACCATTTGATCCATGTGCTCCGAAGGAGGGTCATTTCCTGAAACGTCGCCTATGAAATACAGGGCGCTTCAAAGAATGTTGCCACTGCTGAGAATTTGCAACAAACACGACGTGAAATGTGCCGCCTCCTGGCGCTGGAGACCACCTGGAGAAGACTCCGGGCAACGCGTTGACAACGATGGCGAACACGTGGAGACTGTTTGACTTTTTGAAGCTATTAACATGACATTTGTTGTCATGTCACAATGTAGTATTATCCGTTCTTTTTCCATTTAAAACGATAGTCCCATTTAAGTGAAAAAAAATTTGCACCCTGTATAGAAAACAAAAAATTGCGCGTTCTTGTTCACAGTGGTTTTGACGAGATTGTCATTGTCTGTGTGGTGCTGGTGGTGATGATCGTGATGACGGCGGTGGTGGTGGTGGTGATGATGATCGTGATGACGGTGGTGGTGGTGATGACGGTGGTGGTGATGACGGTGGTGGTGGTGATGACGGTGGCGATAACGATCATCAATCAGGGGCGGCCACCTGTCCTGAGAGGCGCCCGAGGCGGTCGCCTACGGCGCCAAGTTAAGTGGGGGCGACAAATTCGAGGAAAAAATAATACAAATTAAAAATATAGAAATAAATAAAAATATACAAATAAAAATATACAAATAAAAAATATATACTAATAAAAAATATACAAATGATAAATATACAAATAAAATTAAGGAGATGTCATTTTAACACGAAGGCTTTCGCGATCAATATCATCCATAATAGAGGGTACTTTTTGGGTTTGATCGCGTGAATATATTCATGTGTCGTTAAACCAGCACCAGACAGCATCATCAGCAGCATCATCATCAGTAGCACCAGACGGCATCAGCAGCAGCATCATCAGCAGCATCATCAGCAGCAGCACCAGAAGCATCATCAGCATCATCATCATCAGTAGCATCATCAGCAGCACCAGACAGAATCATCATCAGCAGCAGCATCATCAGCAGCATCATCAGCACCAGAAGCATTATCAGCATCATCATCAGCATCATCAGCAGCACCAGACAGAATCATCATCAGCAGCAGCACCAGCAGCATCATCAGCATCATCATCAGCAGCAGCATCAGAGAGGCGTTGCGCGCCCACACCGGGGGGCTCCCTCCATCACCCCCACCGACGTCGTCGTCCCCATTGTTCCTCCACGGGCGCGCGCATTCATTGGGACAGGGCCGCAAACGCAACAATCGATTACGCCTTTAATGAATGATCCTTAAGCACCCTCACATCAAGATCCGCGTAGCCGTCCGCACGCGATTCGCTCCGCTAATTAACGCGGCCGGGCATGGGAATCGGGGAATTTGCGGGAATCTCGCGGCGACGATCACCGCCGCAGCTGCCGCAGCAGCAGCAGCGGCGGCGGCGGTGGCTGCTCCGGTTCGAGAGCGACTCGGAGGGGCGGGCGACCCAGCGACTCGCCACTCGGCTCGCGGAGTGGAGTCCGATGGGGCGTTGGAGGCGCACGTCGAGATGGAGGAGTCGGTGTCGATCCCAGCAGCGCCAACAATGCCGCAGGGTGCGCGTGATGGATTTTTTAATTTTTATTTTCACGACTGCGTTCACGCACGCGCGCGCACGTGTGGCTGAACGCACACTGTGCAGTATACACACACAGACAAAAATCCCCCGTCTAGCCTTTATAGACTGTCGGGCAGGTGCTGTGAGCGAGCACATATTCAGGCCGGGGTCCACGGAGATGCAGGGGAAAAAAATACAAAGATCCCCCGAATAGCCTGAACAGACTGTAGGGGCATGTGCTGAAGGCCGGCACGGCACACGAGGGGGTGGGTGGCCAGCACCACGCCCGGCCGCCTTTGTCTCCCCAGTGTCGATGTTTACACCGCACCAGGTACTCATTTGAGGCAGAGTCGACCTAGGCGAGCCCTAGGACCGGCTCAGATAATCGTCACCGCTGGTGTTGGCCTGTGAGCGGGAATCGAACCCGGGTCGCCGGGTTCGTAGCGCAGCGTAGCGCTAACCGCTACACAACCGCTCCCCACACACACACCGTGACACACACACGCATTAAATTGACGTGGCGATACACACACACACACAACACGCACGCAGCACGCACAGCACTCCCGCAGGCTGTCGCTGGGACCTGCGGCTCTCCGCGCGCTGTCTCCGTCGGTGTCGCCGCTGCCCACCGCCGACGACGCCGCCGGAGCCCACCGCTCCGCGTCGCGCTCCTCGCGGTGCCCGCAGACAGGCGGACAGCCCTTGGCGACAACAACAACAGCAACAACAACAACAGCAGCGGCGGCGGGACACCCGGTGGCAACGTTTTATGAAGGCCACGCCGCGCTGACGAGGGCTCATTGGGTCGAAATCGGCGCAGAGATTTGCTCGCTTCAATAGCTGCTACTGGGCAACAGTCGGTCCACACGGCAAATTTGTGAATTTTTCTCAAAT